CTCTGAAGACAGAGGATGGACTCCTGCCCTCTCTGCTGCCTTGACTTTTCCAGTGGTTGGTACTCCTACATTCTGCTAATTCTTTCCTAGTATTAACTCAGCAATCAACGATTTTTTTTTCCACTAACCCACCATAGATACGCACTACACAAGTGCCTGTTTCTGGAAGGAGAAAGAAGTTAAGAAGCAACTTTGAAAAGCTCAGACACAAACAAGCCAATAGAGCTATAAGGAATGCAAAGACAAGTGCTACAACAGGGAAGCCTGTGGTTGATCAGCTCTGGAGAGCAGAGTATTATAAAAGACTTCAAGGGACATGAGAAGAAAGCGGCCAGCAAAAACAGCAACAACAAAAAATCAAAGCAATGCCTTGAAGTCTTTATGGGTTCCAAAAACTCCATGTTGCTGCCAATCTGTGTGTTCACTGTACTGTAAATACACACAGATTTGGGGAGAATTCACTTCAGACAGTTCTTTCAATCCAAATATCTTGGCAAACAAGTCGACAACATTTATCTTGCTTCTTGGTTTTGCTTCCAGCGCAAAGGTTCTCCCTTCTCACTGTAAGTGACCAAATTAAATGAATGTGGTGTCAATCTTATCGGCTTGAATGGAACGAGAGGGTGGAGAGATCAGAAGTATGGATAATACGGTACTCCACCATCTGTAGTCACTCCTGTTACTGGCTCTGGAGCAAACTTGAGTAATTTATAAGTATCTGAATGCTCAAATGTGGTCACATTACTGCCTCAGACACCATCCCCTCCTCCTTACAGACAGCATCAAGATAATCTGTAGAGTGGAGGATAGCCCACTGCTAACTTAGGACCTGGGATAACGTGAAAATTAAATGTTGGAAAAAAATCCAGAATGGCTAGATACACCATGGTAGTACCCACTTTGGAAAAATCAAGAGTCAGGTTATGCACAGGTATCTCTGCAAGGGAACCACATTACATGCCAAGCATCCCACAGATGGCACTTTGGGCAAAAGCAGCAAATTTTGGCAGTTACATGATACAACCTGACAACCTTAAAGAGATGTACTACTGATAAAGACAAACTTCCTCCTGAGCCTTTCACACATCCTCCAAATACAACAAAAGCTCGAGCAATTAGCCATTCCGTGACTTTACTCATGGTTCCCTTTTCCCTGTGATGTCTGAAAGAACTGTGCACTCCACAGCACTTCATTCACGTTCGCACCCTATATACCATAACACTGTTATTCCAGAACAACCTTTCTCACTGCAGGGGTGCTGGGTACTGTCAGGTTACCTTAGAGCAAAAGCCCCTCTTCTCCCAGCCCCAAAGCCACATATTTTACAAAGCACCTTAACCACCTGCCTACTATCTTTACAGAACAGCTTTTTCTTTTCATCTCCCTCCTTCCACATAACGGAACAGAAGGGGAGCTCTGACTAAAGTCCAAAACCTTTCCCTTCCATGGATCACAGGATGCCTGAAAGGGAAAAGGTCTCCACTGAACCCCTCTGCACAGAGCCCAACCCCATCTGGGGCAAGGCCAGGACCCACAGGCTTCTCTGCAGCCCCCAGCCCTGTGGGGACTCTGGCCCATGCAAACCTCTTCGCAACCTGAAGATTTCTCAGCTTGGAAGGCCATAACATCAGGTGAGAAGCAATGAGCAGGTCCCCATCCCCAGCACTGCCCCAACACCACACACATCCCCTCTCTCTCTCCTGGTCCAGGTCAGGGTTTTTTTTAACAAGAGCCCTGAGGCTCAGGCAGTGCAGCCTGACTGGGAACAGACACCTCTACAAAGGGCATCCAACAGTGACACAGTGGGCATGGACACAACAGCCAGAGTGATTTCCGCACTTGTTTCCGCCCAGAGAAGAAAGGCCCTTCAGTCACTGCCAGGCACCCAGATTCCAGCAGAAGGGAAAGCCTACCTGAGCAGGAGACATTATAGCAGAGGGTCTGCACTGACATGGTGAAAGTTAAAGGGGAGAAAGGATTTACACCTGCAGCAGGAGCAAAGCTTCACGCAGAATCACCCAATCCAAACTGAATGGCATGACAAATCTCAGCAGGAACCGATTATTTCCTGTTTGATGCTCGATCCAAGTAAAATGTTGATAAACACACAGAAGCATTCCTTCCATAACAAGCCATGACCTGAAAGGGACACAGGCTACATGTTCACTGGCATTAAACACAGTTCTTCCAAGGACAGAAGAACCATAGGCAGAGCCAAGTCCATTCAATCCAGCCAGTATCCTAACAGTGAAGAACAACCAGATACACAGAGAAGAGTAATCTTGTTTATATGTGACACTTTCCCCTAATAATATTAGTTAGCAATGACTTTCAGTTCAGAAGCTTCCTGAGATGGTTTCTATATATTAAGACACTCTCGCTAAACATCTTTCTTGAACTTGTCCAAATTTGTCTCAAACCAGTATACACTTTTAGTATATAGCACCCTGTGACAAGGAATTCTACACTTCAGTTTTCTGATGCACAAACAACTGCCTTCTTCCATCTATTCCAACTCCTGCTTGCCCCACTTGATGCCACTTACTCATACGAGAGAGAAGAACTCAATCCATTCCAGCTTCTCCTTGGTCTGTTACTCCTTTTCCAGTCACATCTTTGGCAGACTGACCAGTTTTAGCCTACTCAGTCTTTCTTTGGACAGGAGACATAGAGACCTCTGATGATCCTTACTGTCATCCTCTGCAGCTTCACCACTTACTTTTGAAGATGCAAGACCAGTTCTGCACAAGTTATTCACGCAAACCCTGGGTCTATACACAGTGATGCTCTCTATTTTGTTCTGAATACTTTGCTTTTGGGAAGGAGACTTTTGTCTTAGTTTGACTACTATTCAGTAATGAGCTGATGATTTCATCACCTTAAGACTTTGCTCCACAATGGTGGAGTAAAGAAAAAAATCAACACAAGAGCTCACTGAGCCATGTATGATGCTCTAATTATTGTTCCTGTACATGCATCCCATTTACCTATGCTGAGCCAGCTGGGTAAGCCAAAAATGCCAAGTCATGTAACTGTTAACTAATGTGATAATAATCTCCTTACAGTGTCATGTTACAATCCCTAAAAAATATTCTAAGCATAAGATTTTACTTGCTTTCCACATTTTGTAAGTAATTGTAATGATTTTGTGTCATTAAGACTGTGCTTAAAAACTTCATTTTTACTTTAATTATATTCAAATTCTCAACGTAACCACTTCCTAATTAGTTTGACCATGCTGTGATCATATGTGGCATGAATAAAAACGTTATCTTAAATCAACTTTGGATATTATACCCTTTATCTTAGTTGGACACTATTCATCTTTCATACTGAGAGGATATGAGAAATAAGAAAATATCCTTCCTTAAAACAGGCAATTTGCAAATAATTTTCAGCTTTCAAGTACAGTATCTCTAACAGTCCCAGTTGTGTACCAATGTCAAGGCTTCGCACTGCAGTCCAAGGAAAGCCACTACACCTGGAGATGCCTGACATCAAAATCAACCAGGTTCTTCACCAAGTTGTGATTTCTAATGTAGTCCCTAAGACTGGGCTGTAAGGCAGCTCCAAGTCTTTACAGAGCACTAATTTAACATATTTTTATGTTTCAGGGAGCTGCCACGAGGACCGAATTCCACAGTAAATGTCACAATTAAGAAACTGGGAAATTGCCACATATATAACAAGCACCAGTAATGGTGCCAGGTACGGAACAAAGGCTTTAACCCAGCAAATTAAATAAAATTCCTGCCATAAGGTTTCTTATTTCAAAGACAAGAAGGTGTAATTATTCCTGCGGTGTTTCAATGCACAAGTCATGTTTCAGAAGACATCCAGAGAAACATGAGATGTGCACTGAGAAGGAGAAAATAAAAGAACAGTACTGCAGGGTGGGGGAGGCAGGGAAGGGGTAAATAGAGGTAAGCAGAGGATTGCAAACTTTTTAGAAGACAGATCAAAGCTAACAAGGCACACTATAGCCAGCACCAGGGACTGGATGAACAGGAGGCAGATATACAGGCCTGAACATTCAATCGTCTAAAAGCAGCTGCACGTGTATCTCTTCCACATGGCCTGGTCAGGAAGTTGTGGAATTGGAAAGCTCCACTGCAAACAACTTCAGAGGCATGCTAATTCCTACCTAATTCACCATGCTGCCTGAAAAGTCTCTTTCTCTATTTCTTTCCCCATTCCAGCCCTTCTGCTCCCCTGGGTTATCTAGCAAGAATTCTCACTGCCACTGCGTGAGCCTTTATTCTGCAGGATCTCTGATGCATCAGTCTGGAAAGGTCCATGGAATTCTGAATAACAGAACATTTTAAACATGGTGAGTTTGGGGCAGTCACTGGCAAAATCACTCGATCACTCTCTTAACATCTGTGATTTACACAGCCAAGAGTCTCTGGCCAGAGACTTCAAGGCCAATTTATCTGACCCTTGTAAAAAATCTCCAGGAATCTGAATTTGAAAACCTGTACTTCAGCCCTTGAGAAAAATTACACACAGAGACTCTATATTCCTCAGTGTACACACTGACTTAAAATAAATTCTCACATAGTGATTTCAAAAAGGTCAGCTTTTTGTCTAATATAGGCTCTAGCTCCTGCTGTAGAAATTGAAAACAGTTCCCTTTCCACATCCAGTCTCAAATCTCTTACTATCCTAGCCCAGTTACAGATAGAGCAAACTCAGCTCAGCTCTTGCAATACCAGTTCCAGGTTAAATACAGCTCCGACTCCATGTGGTACAGAGTGTGTGTACAAAACAATGCGACCCCCCACCCCTGCCCCAATGTGCCCGTGCCTATTGCTGCACAAGGTGGACCTCTTCTGGTGAAGAGTTTGTGCTCCAAAACACCTGGTTCCATTAGCCTTGGCTGAGCAGAAGCCTATGGGGATCACAGCATTACACAGCTTCTTTTGAAACTAAAGCCTGGGGCAGGGTTAAGGGGAGCACAAGCCAGAGAGAATCACAGAGCACATGTGTGACTCCTTACCTCAAACAGCGTCAGGCTTTCATCGTTCAAGATGATTCTGGGAGGTGCAACAACTGAAGTTAAAAAACAAGTTACAAACCAGGACCACCCAGCAATCAGAACAGCAAACAGAGCAGGTATGGGAAGCATCCCCAGTCTCTGAAGGGATGATATGTTCATGTGCCCACAGAGGCTGCTTCATAGACAGAAGCATAACATGGCTAAGGGAATAGGTTATACCTTCTTTGCTTCCTAAACACAGCCTCAGAGTGCAATTCCTCCCCCGGTCCCATCTCAGGCATCAACAGATCCCATACATACTACAGCTAGGAACAGGTTTTGTAAAGTAAGGCCAAATATTACCAACAGCACTCACATAAGTAAAATGGCAACTCTGCATCGGCAAGGTGGCTTCTTACAAAGTCTCTCAAAATGCCAACTGTGGAAAAAGGAGAGAGAGGTTTGCTGAATTTCACTTGTTTCTTCAAATATTGGACAAAAAGGCTGAACTGTAACAGCAGAACTGCCCTCTATAATGTACGGAGATTGCCTTTTCCTCCAAAGTACACTGTTGCTATTACAAATCTCTTGGAGAAAAAACAAACCAACCAACCAACCAAACAAACAAACCACTTGGAAATGCTGGTCCCTTATCAAAATCTAGGAAATCCAATAGCAGCTACAGAGAGCAGCCAAGTGAGACTCTGGTAACTACTTATTAGTTAGTGTTCCACGGAAAATTATCCAAAAACTTGTGCAGGTAACCAAGGCTGCCACCTGAGAGTAAGATCTCCAGTAATAACAGTAAGAGCTACTTGGTGCATGGCCTAATCGTCTTCTGTGAACTGACAGAACCAGAAAGGTTCATCCCCTCTTAGTACAGTAGCTAACGCTTATTTTTCTTCTTTCTGCTTTTTAGGGCTTGTTTTGGATTGGGGAAGGGGGTGTTGTTTTTCCCCCAAAACATTAACACAGAGGAAGTGTGCAAATGCATCCCAGTAACACACTTGCTATCCACCTTGTTTGGGCACAAACACGGTGGATAGCAAGTGGGACGGCTTCCTAAGCACAAATATTTTGTCATGAAGCAGCTTGACAGTCTCCATCAAGTAGCCCTTAACTAAGTGAATTAGCCCAAACGCTTTTCTTATTCCATTCAGGGGCCCTACAAGGACAGTGTAACTGCCTACTGCTGCTTTTTCAGAGCAGTTTTACTTCCCTGGACAGCAGAAACACCTGTCCAGAGGCCTCTCTCCTGTCATAGTGAGAGCCATGAGCTGCATCTGCACAGTCTGAGGGGGTGATCGGTCTTACCGGTTTCACTGGGATGGAAGAATCCCTGTAGAACATGGCGGTCTGGAAAATGAACTCTCAGCACCACCTAAACCAGAGGCAAAGCACGTTAGGTCAGTGGTTTATCGCTGCTCTGTAACGCCTGTCCTTGGCTTAGAATCTGTAAGTTGGTGGGTTTGGGTTTGTTGTTCGGGTTTTTTTTAATGGCTAATGGTGCTGTGCAACTCCTTGGGGAACAGGGGCTGTCTGGCTTTCAAAGCGGGCAAGGAGCTCATCTATCAAAGCACTGTGATGTACAATGAAGCAGCACTCACTCAGACAGTAGGAGCTCCCTGTGCTAAACAGTGCACAAACAACATGGACAGTCCCTCTTGGACAGGTACAGACAGTGTATCAGCATCCTAAAGTGTCCACAGCAGCAGGAATCCTCCTGCCATACCTCTGAAGTAACTCAGACCATTTCAGCATTGGTCAGAAAGCACTTAACTTGGGAACTGCATTAGGATCATGTTCACAGAATAAAATAAATCCACTTGTAACATCAAATCATTTAACTTTCAATGAGACACTAACAAAATATCTACAGAGGAGAGGTAGGCAGGAAAGCTCAGTCATACAGACTGATGTGTGCACAACAGAAAGGTTTTGAAACATCTGGAACAGAACAGAAGGAGCTATACTGCCTGTCACTCAACCATGTGATTACAGGATAGCTGAATTCACAGGGCACAACTGTTATGCAAGTCCCACAAACAATCAACAGGGACAGGAATTTAAAAAGTCTTCCTATAAGCAGCTTAAGAGCCTGTTGATCCCAACTGAATCCCAAAGTTACTCCAACTCCAAGTCTGGAGTAGCCAGAGAGGGAAAAAAAACAAATATTACCTTTGGGTAACGCTCCAACTTCTCCTTCAGCTGAGATTCCCTCAAAGATTTTGTCATTAGTGGAGCCTCTTCCAGGCGTTTCCTAGAGACATGGGAAGAAGACAAGTTGTCACTTCTGTAATTTTATGACATATTTTTATTTTATTAAGATAGTGTTCTTAAGGTCCAAGCAGGGCTGATGAGAACTGCTCAACTGTTCCATGCATCTCTCATAGCATTTTCCCCACCTCCTGTGGTTCTTATCCCAAAATCTCATATATGAAACTATTGAGCACCAGCACCAATACTGAATAAAATTACTTTTACTGTACAAGTTTGAAAATAAGTTCACCACAACAGCTGCCAGAAAAGATCTTAAGAAGAGGAGGGGAAAGTTTGTTTAGACTACTCAAGAAGAGATTAATCAAATAAAGCAGAGAATAAGGTTGGACACGATTATTCCAGGGAGGGAGAAGAACTACTGAAGCTGAAAAACAATACTGGCACAAGAAATTAATACATATTACTTAGCAACAGGGAAACAAAATAAAAATGAGAAGTTTCATTCAAGAAGATCCTTCAAAAACTGGCATGTAGACTGGTGCGTTAAAAGAAATAGTGGGTGCAAAATAAAAGTCTACCTGTATTTAAGATGAAACTAAGAAAATAATTACGTATTTTCCTGTAAGTAATGAAATTAGCTTAGACCCAACAGATCTCATGTTCAGCTTTAGTTCCTTCTCTTTGCACTTAATTCTGAATAACCAGTGTGTAATCTGCCTTTATTTTTATCGCTGGTTGTAAGGGGAAAAGGGATTACAAGCATCAGCATATGTGGAAATTAGGTGTTTTTTTGAGGGGCCTGTATTCCAGCAACCCCCAACCAAACTGACTCTACATTTGTACCATTAAATACTCCAGAACCACAAGCAGCAGAGCAATTTCCAGGCCAATCGATATACTCGCGTGGATTTCAGTGGCCTATGGGAAAAAATGTCAGCTTCAAGTAAAAAGTTCAACTCAGACTAGGTTACAGTGTAAAGAAGACTGTTCAAAGTCTGTTTAAAGGAATGCTATGACCCACTTTAAATACATTCATTAATTTCTTTAAGGAACATATAGACGGCAAAATGCTGCTGTAACTGGAAGGCCAGTTTATCTTAATCTGAGTTTTTACCAAACTGGAGTTCAATAAAGTAAAACCATGAACATTTGAAAGCAAGCTACTTGAACAGTGAGATACACAGTCAGTCAGCTTCCTATACTTCCTCTGTGTGTATGTTTCTGTTCCAAACATTTTCAGGTCTTGACTTGTGGCTAAGTCTGATTTTGCTTTATTTCTTTTTAGGTAATGTCTCAAAGTTGGTCTTTCTGATGAGGTCTAATCAATGGTTAATTCTGTTACTTAAAATACAGGGTCCTTCTTACTGGCAAAAAATGCAACAAGCTCTGCTGGTCACTGTTGCTCTGCTCAACAACAAGACACAGCACAATCTCATTCACAACAGAAAGGGAACTTGCCTCTCACTCTGCAGCTCTGCCAAACGTTTCCGTACATCATCCACTGTGACTTCAAAGAATTCATCAGGAAGCTCTTCTGGGCCATCAGGAAGTTGTTCCAGTAGGTCTAGGTGACACACAAGGGGCTCTCGTTCTACAAGCTATAGAATAAAAATGAGCTTAAATTAGTTTAAAATGCATTATTTTGCACATCCTATAAGGTACCTGAAAAAGAGTAAAAGGACAGTATTTGCAAACTGAAATACAATCACCAGTGTGGAGTTCCTGGCACTCAGATCAGACAGATAGAGGAGTTGTCAGCATTGTCATTCTTTACAGATGATACAGCCCCGACAGCAGCAGGAATCCCTATTGTCAGGTGACCAACTGGCTGCTCTCCACTGTCCATACAGGAAACTCAGAGTAATAACCTCAGCAGTCGCCTAAGGTACGGAGAGAGAACCCTTTCCCAGGAAGTGCCTGTGGAATCTCTTCACCTACAATACAACGGTACTCTGTGGCCAAACCACACTTCTAGCAAGTTACAAGCACTCAGAAATTACTCCTATCCCAAAACCCTACCTGACCTTTCTGCTCTAATCCAAACCTCTCCCAGTACGTAACCACTTCCTTACCACTCTACAGGCAGCACGCAACTTACACAGGTGCTATCCTTCCTTCTATGGACTATAGTGCCCTTTGAAGCTTTTCCATCCACCACGCACTCCTGGCTTGCATTGTGTCTTGTGTTCTCTTTGCTTCACATTCTCTTGCCATAGAGCCAACAGCACTGGTTCCCATCCAGCGCCCACTCCTTTTCTCCTTACTCTGGAGAACAATCCTTTGCTTTGGTAAGACAGTTTTTGACCTGTTCAGCTCTCTGAACTAAACCACTGCACGGATCCGTTGCATACCTTTCAAATTTTTACCCTGGTGTCTGCTGTGCAGAAGGGTCCCCTAAACAGTAAACCCCCCTTTTGTTTTGCACTTACAAAGTACTTAGCACTGAGATCAGCCTTTGGTGCAGCCAGAGCACACAGATGAGAGGGGAGCAGTTGTCTGTAGGCATCACCTGCAATAAAGGTACTTAATACTGGTAACTTTCCCTCCAGCCCAGAGGATCCATGCCACACAGACACCCCTCTCCCCTGCCCAGCAGAGCACAGGTAGCCTGGCTGCCTGCTCCCCCGGCCTCCAGAGCCCAGAGCTGGGTGTCATGATGGCAAACCTTCCAGCAAAACTATGGCCTGGCCTAGGACTGTGGCTGCTATGAAGAAAACAAAACAAAATTAAAAAAAGCCAACACCAAGACCCACAACACCACAACAAACCAAATGAAAGCCCCAGCCACTTAGACTAAGGTGTCCTATTTGCCATCTCTGCAGGCAGCAGGACATTAAGGATCCCTCCACAGCAAAGGTTACGTGCTTGCTCCTCTTCTCTCTTATGCCCAAAGGAGCAGCTGTGCCTGTGTTTGAATACAAACCACAACCAGAGTCAAGCACACAAGAAGCAGTTACACCTCCTGGCTCTCACACAAGTCAAGTTTTTTAAATTCCAAAGTGATTTAAAGGCACAAACATACAGAACGGCACACTGAAGGCTACAGGAGATGAAGGGAGGACACAGCCCGTGGCTGAAGAGGCCCAAAGGAACAAAAACTTGGGTAGTTAATCCAACATTTCTTCCCAGTCAGCTGTCAGCCTAACATGGTTGTAGGCTCTGTGAATGAACCCACTGCCCATTTCTTCTCCCCTCATTCCCTCATACACTCTTTCCAATCCTAATTAACACTCAGATGTCCTCCATCCATCCACTCTCCCTTCCCCCAGGCCCCTTGGGAACAGGAGTCTTCTCAATTGTCAAAAGCACAACACAAATTACAAGGCAATGTTCGCTCTACTTGTGGGCACTAAAGGGTAATTTGAGAAATTAAAAGAGTGAGGTTGTGTGGGTGGGACTCTTGGCTACTTTTAGAAAGTTGAGCAGGGTCAGCCCTAACCAGTGGGTAAAGGAGCCTGATTGCAGCTTTCCCGGGGCCTGGGGTAGGGGAGGTGCCCAGTGCTGCAGAAGCGACGCCAAGCGCCCAGGACCACCCTCTAGGAAGCAGCCTTGCTGTCCCATGATCCAGTGAGGGTACATCTACATCAGAGGCCAGGGAATTAATCAGGCCTCCCCAGTAATCAGGTATACTTTAATCTCATCAAACAGGTTTAAGTTTCATTCTAAACACCTCCTGAAACCGGACTTCTCCCCAAAAAAAAACCCAAACTCAAAAGACTGAGGAGGCATATCCTACGGCATGTTGTGAAGGGTGCTGGGATATGATGGAGAGAACTCCCAAAATCTCCATTAACAAATTCTAAAGTTACTGTTTAGTAACGGTTCTAACAAGCTCTTTAGCAAATCCCAACAGCAGTAAGTATCCACAAGGAAAAGGCCAGCCCCTGCTCAAACCATGGTGACAGCTAAAGACTGCCACCAAGGCATAGACAATCATGCCATGGCCGAGGGCAGACATACATTCCAGTCCTAAGTGTTCACTCCTCTTCCTTGCTGTGGGCTCCAAAAGTCCTAAAGTGCAGAGAGAATCCAAAAACTAACTTCCCACAACGATTACAAAAGAGGTTCCAGGAACACCAAGCCACTTCCCAGCCCACTGCAGAGCCAATGTTTTCTGCAACCATAACGAGAGGTGAGCATTTCCTGTAACAATAAATGGCCACCACATGGATGTTCTACCTTCCATTATGTAACCTGGAAGAAAGCAAGCTGTGTCCTTTGCTGTTGTATCTTTGTCAGAGATCCCTTCCAAGAGCCAAAGATGCTGCGTTAAGGTTTGGCAACTTCCTTCTTCAAAGTTTATACTTCTCCTACCAAAGCTGAGATGTCAGGTGCTTTTCATGACAAGGCTGAAAGCCATACATTCACAGCAGTGTCAATGTAAGTGCAGTCTACAAAACAAAACCAGGAAGAATGCAATTCTCTCTGTAGTCACCACTCTGGACCCAAGGAAGCACGCAAGCTGAGGAAAAGTTTTATTTCATTTTTGATGAAGTAGTGGCTATAATGCTTCCCACAGCAGCAAGCTCTCCCCAGCGACCCACCTCCTCCCCACCACCTCTGGGAGCCCTAATCTCACAGGGAATCTGGTGTAAAGTTACTTTCTAATAATTAACGTTCTGACATCAAAGTCAGCACGCAGCTGTCTGTAAACCATCTTTAGCCCAAGAAACGAAGGGATGTCGGCACAGATTTTATCCAGCCTCTCTCTTCAGCTTCAAAAACCACACACAGGCAAGCATTAATGGGAAGATTCCTTTATAAAAATGGCCCTTTGATGTTTAAAAATAATTTGTTTTGTTTTGGGTTTTTTCCTCGGGACTGAAAAGGGACAAAAAGCAGATGCCATGTGGCTTGCCCTGCTCGACTGTTGCCGCTGAGAGCAAGGAGAGCAGAGGATGGCAGGAATGGAGGAGGGAACAAAATGTAATCAATCAGCAGCAAAAGCACAAGAGATCAAAGGGCTTGAAAGCAGCCGTCAAAATCACATGCTGTTCAACACAAGGACAGAAACCTCCCCCCACAAGAATCCGCAGCTGCTTCCAAAGCTGTTTTCTGACTGGAAGGGCAGCTGGCTCCAGAAGTGCCTCCGAGTGGTTTGAACTGGACTATGATTCTGAGAAAGACACCAGTTCATCAGAGTCCTTCAACCACCAGCACTCAGCCCGTGCCCAACACCACAGCTCCACGTCAGGCTGTGAAGTCAGTGAAATGATGGAGGGAGTTCTGCCCCTCCAACCAGCGTGCAGAGAACCATGGGCAACAAGACTGGTGAAGTATACCACCACAAACCCTCACATTCCTCCCTCTCCTCCCAGACACAATGGAAACTCCTCCTTTACAAATCCCTCATAGGTGAGAGTAACACTGAAGCAAGCAACATGAGACTGGACAAACCACCCAGCCTACTGTTTAGTTTTCCAAGCTCAGGCTCTGTTCTAAAATGTTAAATAACACTGATTAGACGGACCCAAACATGTTTCTAATATACCGAAATATTCACCACTGGGTTGGCGAGGCCTCTTTCTGTTACTTGTGCAGTTTGTAACTGCTCCAGAGTCCTTCTAGGGTCTGGCTTCTATTCCTAAACAATTCAGAACTCATCAAGAATGAACTGCAACCACAAAGAAGTCAACCAAGGTGGAGTCTTTATCAACAAGAAAGCATCCACCGTCTTGCTAAATTGCTCTGGGACTGAGCTCCCTTTGAAGCTCCCCAGGCATCCTTTATTTCTACTTACAGCTTTTCACTGTTCGATCCTGGCTGGAGCAGAACCAGAGAAGAATTCAAACCTCCAACTCTACAAGGTACCAAAGAGGCAGAAACAAGGAAGGGGATCTCCGAAGACAAAAGTAGCCACAGGAACGATGTGTACAGTGAAGGAGCAAGGAAAGGACTGGTCACTGAGAATCCAGAATGTGAAACTCATAGTGCACAATAACGAGGAGTAAGTTATTAACTGAATGGCTCCTGTGCTTAATTTTATGTTACTTTCCAGACATATCCAACCTTGCTGAAGGCATTCAATTCCATACAGCTGCCCTACAGAAAGCACACCTCACATCATTCCCAGGTCACCTTGGGATGGTATCACAGCACTCTTCAGCTATCAGTTCTGGTATCTCTTCACGGGCTCAAGCATTTTAGTTTTCAGAAACACAGTTTTACTTCAGAGACATCAACAACAGAGGTATGTTCAATTTGTCTTTCTGGGAAAAGGGTTAAAGAGAGGTAGACTTCATATTTAAGAAGCAGGATATTTTAGATCACGACAGAAAACACTTCTATAAGCAAGCAGAAATACAGAAGGAAAAGGATGAAAGGATGCTTCATGTGCAATATTAAGAAAATTAAATTGAAGACCAAACTCTGCTCATCTTTAGCAAAACTACACATCAGATTTTTAAGAGACAAACAAGTACCTAGGGCTCAGGTGACAAAGTGGGCGTTTGTTCATGAAATCTGCATGAAGTTCAAGGCATAGAGGTGTAGGCTCTCCTGGACTGTGATTTAATGCAGCTGCGTTGTTTCTATTTGAACCACTCATCAAGGATACCTAAAGGTTCAAAGTTCTGCCTGCCTCTGGACAGCAAATTCTTAAGCTCACATTCTTCCTATTTCCTACTTCCTTACTGAACTAAGGTAGAACTGCATGTCATCAAGGCACCTAACCCTATGACATGGGGAAAAAAGTCTTAATTCTAGAAACATCTTTTTCCTCATGCAGCTCAGTCTCAGGCAAGGCAGGGTAAAGAAAAGCCCTCATTGCTCAGATTGCAAACACGTTTTCCCTTACCTGTTCTCGCTCCTTTTGAAATTCTTGGTTGTTCTTAGACTTCTTTGGCTTAGAAGGGCCTCCAGGGCTGGAAAAAGTTGTTGGCATCTTTGAAGATGGCATATCTAACCCAAAAGATGGTGCAGCTACAGAAGAGTCCCCCAGACGCTCTCCATCTCCAAAAAAAGGAACAAATGGGGTATGTTCGGGCTCTGAGGAAGGCCACAGCTCCTCCAAGCTAGCATGAGTTTCTTTAGTCGAGTCTTGCTTGTGTGTGATGCTGTTTAAAGACATGGCCACATCCCTGTGGTCCAAGTCCTTAGGGAATGTGGTTGCTTGAGGTAGGAGCACATCCTCTGCTCCTTCCATAGAGCATGGCCTCACTGCTGGCTCATTACAAGGCACCACGGCACCCACATCTTCCTCCTGACCAGATGAACTGCATTTCTTCATGAGAACTCTTTAAGAAGACACCAACAGGAATAAAAATAAAATCACAATTCCAAGAGTATTGCCCTCCCCATTCTCAATGTGATGACACAAAGGCAACAGCTGACTCAAATGCACCCCTGATTTAACAATTTGCTTCTTCCAGATACAGAGCACAACCTCCAGTTGCTGTGAAGGGAAGAGTAGGGGGCCAGGGGGTTGCGCAACAAAACAGAACAGGAACCTGCTCCACCAGAAGAAAACTGCCTTCCAGGGAAAAACACCAGTCAGTTGTAAAGCACAGCTTCTAATCACTCCTGCCTTCTGTAAATATTGCAAGGAGCTGGCCAGGAGATCGTAGAAAGGTTGCCCCTGTCCCCACCTCACCCCCCCAACACACAGCAGGCACTGTAGGGGCTGGGAGGTCAGTGCCTGAGATCCAGAGCAGGGAAGAATGAAATGGTAGCTGACTGCCCTCTCAGAAAGACTTTTAACTTTGAATTGTCTGTTCCACTCATAGGAGGAAAAAAAAAAAAAGAAGGAAAAAAAAAAAAAAGAAGAGAAACAAACAAGCTCTTTTAATCTGCACATGACTAGTCAGTGCCAGCATCTGCAGCTGTGGGAAGCACATCTGGGTAGCAGTTTGAGATAAACAGGCAAATGCAATAATTACTGAATGCCACAATGTTTGTAGTTTTCAAATTTTTTTGCCCCTTTTTTTTGGTATTTGAAACAAAATAAATTCACCACCAGAATGGAAAGAAAAAATAACGAGGCCAAACTTTGCTCCTCCCAACCTGACAATGGCACTGCCTCCAGTCAGGCCAAGCGACTTCAGTGTTGTCTTCTCCAAGGCATCTTTTCCTGATATCTGCAACGAAACCAGAGGAGAGTAATTGTGGCCACTGCTTGCCCAGAAGAGCACACATAGTGCTCTTTCTAGAAAGAAGCCTGTATCAAAAGCAGCACAACACAGCACCAGAAACAGATCAAAACTCATTCTGTCTACAGTTCTAAAGCAGACCTGAATCTATATTCACCTATACTGTTTTACCAAATTCACAGCTTATTAAGTGACCTCAAGGGAAGATGACCTATGTATATTTTTGTCCCATACGCACACCCAAATGGGATAAAACTTTACTTTAAAAGCATTACTTTTATGTCAGAAGTCAAACGAGAGGCAGCACCTCAGAGCTGCGAGACAGCCGACTCCCTTACATACACCTCTCATCTGCCTGCAATGATCTGTTCCAGAATAAAGACAAACTGTCCACAGAGGTCAGTAGGAAGTGAAGGGGACAGCCAGGGAGAGCAAATTCCATAATACGCACATACAAAATATTAAACAAAACTTTAATAGCAGAAGATCAAAACACAGAGAAAAGCAAATATTTATTAAAATGAAACCACTGTTTTGACTCAAGCTTTAAAAGAAGTTGGAAAGAAAAACACAAACACAGCATTGAGCTCATTTTATGGGCTCAGAGATCTCAACGGCCCAGGGTTCTGTTCCAAGAGAGCTTTTTTCCATAGAGACACGTCATGCTTTGAAAAGACCAACATTTTTCTACCTCCCCTCTCAAGAAAGTTCAAAAGAAACACTTTCCAGGTTGGAAAGCAGAGCTAAGTTGTTGGGTTTTTTTATTTTTTTTAGAGTGGACAGTTGAGAGGCCTTTGCTGCCTTACCTCATCTCGCATGTAAATACAGACTGGAGAGAATTCACCATGCTGTTCCATCAACTCCCTGCAAGAAAGAGCAAAACACTGCAGCATCTGGACAACAGCCCACCCCCTCCAAAACCAGTGCAGAGTAACAGCACAAAGTGAAATCAGCTGGCAACACTCTCGTCCGTTTTCCTCCAGCAATAACCATTACATAGTTCACAGGATCTCTCTTAGACATTAGGTAAAGAATTTTCTCCAATGCATTCACTTTTCCTTAAACACAGCCTAAAAGTTTAAAAACAAAGCAGAAATAATTAAAGTTAATTCATAAATTAGTTGATCTTACTAGATAAATTTGAGCTCATCATTCTTCGTGTGCCTCATTACCAAATCTGGACGTGACTCAATTACACTTGCTCTTTTTAATCCCTTATCTAAGTTAAAGACTTCAATACTGTTTACACTGAACTTTCCCTGGGGAGAGGTCCATTTCTTTCCACATATGCACAGCAAAAAACAGAATTAAATACTGCTCAAAAGCAAATAAACTGTGGACAAAGAATTTGCCTTAGTGTCAGTTTAAAAAAGAAAAAAGAAAGTAAACGAACAAAAAAGGAACAGCAGAAACTTTCAGATTCTGGAGACCATGGAGAAAATAAAAGCAAAGGAAAGGCTGCCACTCTAGACAAAGTGAAAATCAACCCATATTTAAGCATTTCAGTGACACAGGACAAATATTAGCAGCAATGCAAACTCCTGACATGCCATCTGCAGAGGAAGACATAAGCGAAGATCACCATTAAAATGGGGAAAAACCAGTAAGATGCTGCTCTTTCCATTTTCCTCCAGATAACAATTCCAGGCATGAGGCACTCCAGTAAAAGAGAAGCCTTATTGCATATTCACTTGATCAGACACAGAAGATGGACAGGGAAAAGACAATCACTGCCTTTCAAAGCAAGTCTCAGTTCTCATCTAGCCAAGATGATCTGATTTCAAAAGGAAGAAAAAAGGATTGGCACTTTCAGCAAGAAAACCTCGTGTGCCTGTAGAAATGTAAAACGAACCTGAAAGAATTAACCGGTACATTATGCTGAGACACAGAAATCAGTGAGAGTATTAGATCCAACATCAGAAGAAACTCTCTTTCGTGTTGGTCTCCACTTCAGCAAAGTGAAACTCAAACTGAAATCAGCCAAGAACATGGTAAATCATGACATTAAGGAGAATACTTTGCTTCTCACTCCAAACATACCAATGGTAAAAGGTGACTAGGAAAACACTGTCCACCCCGAGACAGTGGTGGTTTGGAAAGAGATTTGGCTGAATTCTCACAAGCATTTTTTCAGAAGCTTCAGATTCAGACATTTCAACCTAGCTCAGCCTAGGTAACTACAAAAGGTGAGAATGTTGCCCCTAGATATTCTGTATCAACACAGTGAGAACTGATGAGGTTTATCCTTCTCCTTACACCCTACCAGCTCTTGTTAGCACATTCTGTCCCAAGCTCCCTGTCCTTGTAGTTACACCAGGATATCCCTTGGTAAGAAGCGGTATGTACCATCTGCACTGCAACAGCTAGTTTATCATCAAACTCCAAAACACCTGAAATTCCTCCTCTTGGTAAATTTCCCTTGGTCTTACTGATCTCTGCAGTCCAGTCTCAGGGAGGGAATGGCTTTCCACTCAGTCCACCAGGAAACCATCACCCATCATGTGTGACTTGAAGAGAAACCACCTCTCTGCAAAGTAGCTGAGGAAAGTCCCCTGACAGCCCAGGTACATTATACATCCTTGCTCAGCTCCTGAGGCCTCCGGAGCCAGTTCCTGAGGTCAGCTTGCCATTTTATGCTTGACTACACCAATGTTTGTTACTGAACACCTGAGGAGCTCTGCAAATGACTGACAGGGTTATGTGAACACTTCCACTTAGCTTCCTCTTCAGCTGCCAGATTCTAAACTTTGCAGTGAACTTCACAAGAAAAAACAAAACCTGCAGGACCCTGGCAGCCTGAAAAAGAATCCAGTATTTTTCACCGAAAATTAGAAGTTTTGAAAAGATATTTCTACTTCAAACATTACTCTGCACTGTTAGTAATTCCCCAGTAGCAGTAATAGCCACACCTTCTCCTAAATATATCTGCAAAACATTGATCAACTTGGCATTCAAGTGTCAAAAACTGAAGCAGGAACTCAGACTGCTTGTATCTAGTGCATCACTTACACCTATACTTGTACCTTCAGGGTATATTCTCTATCTTGTGCTTAAATTTGTGAGCACTGTACCTGGGGGATGGAACAGGGAATAACTGCATGAACAGGATATCAGTGATCAAGGTTGACTTCATCCCGAGTTTTCCCAAAAGGAGTTTAATTAACAGAATCCCACTACTTAAAACATTCTGCCTTCAGCATCATGTAATTTAAACATGTATTTTGAGATGCAGTATTACCAGACACAAAGTTATCTCAGGGGTTTATGTCAGAAAAGGATCCCTTAGGAACAGTCAAAATCCAAGCAGTCCATGAGGCGTCTAGTTCTGAAGTGACTGTACATTCCATGGTCTGTGCTGTGGCCACACTGACTGCTGCTGTTAGGCTTCTGCTTCATAGTTGGGAACTCCACAAACAGGCATGTAATAAACCCAACCATTAGGGAAAGACCACCTCAGGACAGGGATAACATTTTCTGTTCAGGTAACAAGGAAATAACCCTTCCCACTTCAGCAACCTGCTTGCCCAGCAGAAGACCAGAGTCTGCATAGCCCAACACATCTTACTGCTCTCAGTGCAGTGCTTTCAAGAACCTTAAGTATCACCGTAATGTTCAGTTACTTAACAACAACAGCTTTGTCAATATTGTATCACTTAGTCTTTCTACTTCACAAAGAAGCTGATTAAAAGAATATATATATATACAATCGATGTCTTACACTGTATTGGCACACAGATCTATTTAGCCCAGCGCAAAGTGACAAATGAAACTGAATGGGGAAGGAGTCAACCAGCCTACAGAGCAGAAAATGAAGGGAAGTAGCCATTAAATTCCATGAAAATTCATCAAAGACATTTACACTTAGATTCAATACTCAGCTGCAATAATATATAAGTGAAACAGCTGGAACCAGAAGTCACTCAGGACCGAAAGAACCACTGCAAAAGTATGATACCCAATCCTTGAGTAACTCTCAAGAGCAAAAGAAGATCAAAGATTTCCACATGAGGGAGCAAACCTGTTAAGCACAGACCAGAACTAAGACTTCTGTTTGGTTTAATTGTAGCAGTCTATATGCCATTTTAATCAAAAGGTTAAAACTTAAAAGCTTGCAACACCATGGTGGTATGGGACAAGGTGAGTCACAAAGAAACCCAGAGGTAGCAAATCCAAACTGAGCAACCTGCAAAACCAGTCCTGAGGGTCAGATCTAGTTTAGGAAAGTCAGGGGCTGAGAATACTTCCACGCCAGCTGCAACACATCCCAAGGAGTTTATAGTCCCAAGGCACCAGTCTTTCAAAACAGTTCTCCCAGCCACAACAACAAATTCTATTGTGCAGAAAGTGACAGATGCACCAGTGCATCCAAACTACTATATTCAAGCTTCAGACTATGAAACACAGTCAACTCTCCAACTCAAGGTGAACAACCAAACCAACACTAGAATAGGTCTGCCTCCATTTGTGGTTCCACAATTAGTTATTCTCTGTCAGGGACAGAAAGCCTTATGCAATGCTACGCTCGAATCAAGAAATTAAGTTTCTTATACAAAGGAGCACAACATAATGATTCAAGACTCAGGCTCCAACCTCCCTCTCTCCTCTGGCAGCAGTACCCGAGTAAGTTCCCAAGGTCGATGCTTGATGATGAAAGGCAGAAAAAAAATCTTGTCTTGATTGGAAAATTGGAACAAAAGATCACCAAAGAGACTGGCCTTTAGCACACCATAGCAGGCTACTGTGCTCAGAGTTCTCCAGACAACCCAGGAGAGATACTCATCTCTACCTTATTTTCAATGGGTTTTGCTTCCAGTTAGGATCAGCTGTATACCTACAGGAATCCTCAATAACTGTGCACAAAAGATAAAGGACTACTGAAACACGGAGAAACAGTACAGAATCACAGAAAAGGCAGACAGCACAGTCCAGAGGAAAAAAGCTTGAACCTCAAGCTGCCTATCAGGAAAGGCGCATGATCACCATTCAGGAGAAAAGAACCTGAGGCACAATGGAACACACCTTACCAAAGACCCATAGGAGAGCAAGCCAGTTTGACTTACAGAATCTAGTTTCATTCATTTTTCCAAAAACTGCTTTCCACTTCAATCCAAAATACTCTTTGAAGAGTCTTCTAAAAATGTATGGAAAATATCTAAACCTAATGAATGGCACCACAGAATTAGTGAAGAGTCACAATTACTATCAAAGATGTCTCTGAGTGTCCAGAGCGCAACCGCTCCCGCATACAAGAGCCCCCAAAGCTGCTGAAGCTGCCAGGCATGCAAGAGTGGGAGACAGAAAGGCAGCAGCTTTCCCAGGCCTCACGCTCAAAGAGCAGACAACACTGTGCACTCAACCAGCCTCTGCAGCACAGACTCAAGAAGATCCCCCGAGACTTGTTTTTGTCTAACTCTTGGAAGCTCCTCCTCCAGCTGCTGCTAATCCATTACATGCACCCATGAGGGGAAGCACACACATCAAACACACTGTCCTCTCTTTGATGTGCTCCTCTTCAGAAGGGGAACGGCAAGCAGATTAGATTCCTTCATGTAGTGATCTGACAGGGCCTGTAAACATCTTGTGCAAGGACTGCTGCACACTGAGAGGAGGAGCAACCCTACAATAGCTTCCAGACCTTCTTCAGATCCAATTAGCCAAGATGGACACTGGAAACCCAGGGGAAATTCCAGTGGATTTAGAATACTTCCCCTCACGCACTGAGAGCAGCTGAGCATTCCAGGAAAATGTCTCCAGTTGGAAAGTCCAAGGAAGGATTCAGCAAACGTCGACAATTAGCTGACTAGTCAGTCTAAGTGAATCCAAACACACTGAACAGCAGCTCAGCCCATGAAATCCATAAAGACGGCTGTAGATCCAGCTTGTTCTGTGTCTAAGTCACACACAGCACCTTTGCTGCTTGTTGAACTTAATCAAAAGTCTGCAAAGTCCATCCAAACATCTCAGCTCAGCTTCAAGAGGGCAGAAAACAGCAGCTGTGTTCTGAACTGGTTAGGAATGCACAGCACACTGCAGCAGTTAGAAGCTTAAGAGCAGTATGTATATTAACTAGTAGTATTACAATAACATGCAAACAATAAAACCACTTCAAAAGAGCAAAATTATATAAAAAGCTCAAAATTTAAACCGAATAAATAGTCAACTAATGTGTGAGAAAGCCACATAAAGGCTGTTTGTCACTGTCAGTTATTAACACTCCACCAGTCTAGCAGTCCCCAAACTGCAACAGGTACTCCTCTCCTCCAAGAGGGCAAAAAGGATGTAGTAAGGGACAAGAGGGGACTTAAAACACTTCGGAAAATCATACCTGTGTTTTATGGCCTACCTCTTTCCTCAATTAAAAGAATTCTTTTCTCTCTAGCATTTACATGAAAACTGTTCCTTTTGACTTTTACTCATAAGTCACAATGTAGACCTAGTCCCTGACTATTAGAAACAGAATGGCCATCACAACTTCAAGGCTTCATCTTCCAAGCCGTGAGAAAAGAACTGTCTTTCTTTGAGAAAAGTTTATCAGCTTGACATTTCAAAACAATACAGTGTTTTTAATTCAAAACTGAAGACAAGAGATAACACTGAATGTAGACTGAACTCAAATAATAAGATTTCTAATCCATGTACATACTCAATAAATGTAGAACCAGAAATTCTTCCATTTAAGCAGGATCTAATCGGTCTTTTGAGGATTCCACATTAGCCTGCTGAGAGCTCCAGATTTCCCTGAAGAACTTGCACAACAGCAAGCCTCAAAAGCAACAGCACCTCATTTAAGAACCACCTGTACTACAGGGAACCACAGCACACAAATACGGGGGATTAAGATCATCCAGGCTGGCACCTCACCTCTGGCAGTAACTTAACTTCAAACACGTTTGTGTAAAAGGCAGGTGGGGCAACATGTCCCAGTTTGGCATAGTTGCTTCACAGCCTTAGGAGTTTGTTACCAGTTTATGCCCCGAATCAGGAGTGCTACTGCAGAATTAAAAAATAATAATAAAACCATAGAGTGTCAAATCTGAAAGAGCAAGGAAAAGGCAAACATATCTGTTATAAAGGAGAAACCACAGTCAAATAATGCAAACTCTACAAATCTGAAGGATTTAGGTGGATCACCATAACAACAAGCAACTACTGCCATGCAGAGATCCATCCAAACAAGAATTTTCTCACTGCACTGCTCACCTGATTTTTGCAAAATGATTGAGAAGTTCCCACAGAGTCTGTTGGCAGAGGAAAGTGTCTTGCAAACGGGAGCCATCATCTAGTTGTAATGCTATCCGAACCTATCGGAAAAACACAATGAATTCATCTGACAATTGAATGAAATCTTTTTTTTTCTTCACAACTTTTTAAAGTATTTCAGTGCTCCTTGTCCATATGTGCAGGCATTCTGGCCTCAGTTCCAGTTTGTTGGGATGGACTTCTCCTGAGCATAGGGGAGACCATCCTGGAAAACTAACCAGCTTTCAGGGGCCCCTCTTCCCTGCCATATCTTGAACTGGAACGTATTCAGAGAAAAGCCAATGCAAACATCCCAAATAATGTGTCACCATGAGCAACTAAGATGTTCTGTTTTACACCAGATGAAACTTTACAGAAAGGTTCTTCACACCTACATAAAACAAATACCAGTAACGCAGAAAGGACTGATGCAGCTGCACAACTTAAAACGCCAACACAGAGCTCTGTCCACTTCAGCATCAGTTTGCAGAATAACTTCCCTGGGGCAAAACAGAGTACTTGCACATCCACAGAGAGAAACGATGAACACAGTCCCCATCGACCCCTGAATTATTGAAAATCTAAACAACAGTTACCAGTCCAACAAAACAATGTTTGCAACTCATTAATGCTTCCTAACCACCAAATTTTGACATGCAATACAAGAGCAAAGTAGCAAAAAAATCTCAAAAATAATTCTGCACGGTCAGTTATCAAGTCCTTGAACACCTGCAGAAAAAGGCAAGGGCCAACTAGCTGCCTATTTTAACAGGCTTTCTCCAACCTGGAATGTGAACATCCATGTTCATTAGCAGAGAACTGCTTCCCCACTTCTCTCAAAAAAAAACCAAAAACTAAATATTTCTAAAATCAACACATGCTGGGTTCAGTCCTGAAAAACTTCAAACTCCTGACTGTCCCAAGGGAAAAGTCTAGCAGCTGAGCAAGACATGGAGAATGGTAGTGCACTTCAAGTGCTTTTTTTTCTTTTTTTTTTCTTTACTTTTTAGAGAATACTCAACCTTATCCAGAATGTCTAACTCTTAGGTTTTCCCAATTAGCTCATTTGCCTAAAGAAAAATCCTAAAAAACTCCATAGCTGCTAGATGGAACCTGGTTTCTCTAGTCAGCTGAAGTCCACAGAAACTGGCCTTATTCCAAAGCCTGAGAAGGACACTAGCCCAGGACACTTTCTTTCATTCTGTGTTTTCATGTGTCCCTACCAACACTTTCAGTCAGCCTTGCTGTGAGTACAAGATGTGTGTGCCAGCAGGAGGGCAGGGGGGGAGAGAAAGAGAGGGAGTGGGAAAACAGACACCACACACTCCAGCAATCGACTTATTTCCACGGAGGAATATGTTTGTCATCTGCCTCAGCTCCCACCAATCCTCACAAGACTGCAAATGTTGATCTGCTGGAGACAGGAATTTTCCTACATAAAGGAAACAGTGGCATCATTAACAATGAGCCAACAGAACAATGTCGTTTCATCCCACCACTAACACAACCTCCTGCCTTCTCCTACGTGGGAGACAAGCCTTAGATTATTCTCAGCTACAGCAGAGTGATGACAGCTGACATCACCATTCTGGAAGAATCCAGCCCAGAAATTGAGACTACCAGTTGCATCAATTCTTGAGCCACAGTTCAAAGCTAAACATGTCACAAGAGTCCCATTCAGTCAATTAGAAAAGTCTCTTTAAAGACTCCAAGCGCTACTTAAAATAATAGAGACCAGTGCCAATCATCACCTAAGTTTACAAACATTTAAACAAAAAGCTGACAACTTTAACACAAGAGCTTTACTCAAGGTCACCTGCCATCACAAGGGGAATTTGCTCCATTTCTCAATAAAGAACTGTCTTATGGGAAACAATGTTTTCTATATGCAAAGGCAAATCCAAAAGCTTTCCATTTTTAAAATATCAAATTTGCTGAACAAACTCATAATTTATCAAAACCTGTATTCTGTCTCCAGGGTAACTGCTGTCACCAGAGGGAAGCACACCTCCTTCCATGCACATTATCTTAATAGGAGATACAATAATAGAAAACACAGAATCAGATTCATCCCAGTATTACTGTAGCCAGCCAGAATGACCAACTCTGCATCTCAACTGATACCACTGGCCTGTCACAGCCACCTGGCTGTTTTAAATTCCTTAGTCTTTGACACATAATCCCTGTGACAGAGAATTCTTTCAGTCAGTTGTTCTGTACCAAGTCTTTTCTTATACTGTGAAATTCTCCCAAGTGAAATCTCTGCTCAAGTTTGTGGGACAGTGACTCTGTTCAGGCTCCATCCTTCACACACGCATTCGCTGCATCCTCTCACCTCCAGAACAAAGCAATGAGCGCTCCGAGAGAAGACTCAGTTCTGTAGATTCTTCTGCTGAACTACAACTAAATAGTAACAACTTACACTTCTGTTAGCTCTTCTCTTTTGGGACTTAAAGCAGTGATTCCATGCTATAACCCCTCTCCTACAGTGCACTGTCTTTCTTATCCTTTCTCATAATATAACTTCAGGGGGGGGGAAATAAAATCACTGTGTTCCTTCAGTACCTCCCAACCTTCCAAACTGGACGCAAATGTCAGATAAAGTCATCACTGCACTATTTCAACAGAAACACCTTCCTCTGGAAGACAAACTCCATTCCATCAAACCTTTCACTGAAAATGTTAAGCAGATGCTCCCAGTTTGTGGTATTTTTTTAAGTAAAGACGTCATTTGAAGCACAAACTTCTTTCTACCACAAAGTCAGAAAGAAGGCATTAGTACCAAAACAAAGAACATAGAGGTTTGACAGAGAAAAACATCAACACCAGTGACCCCTAAAACTACATTGCACACACACAGTGAACTAGAGCAGAGATTCCAAAGCCACCTCACAACACAAAGTTCACTTTTCAACATATCAGTTTCTCTCTGTGACAGCAAGAGCAACTTCCTACAACAAAAACCACTAACTTGTCAGTTTGGCTGACAGACGTTAAGAAATCAGTACCAATAGACCTGAAACTTTCATAAAAATTGAGAAACTCCCCCTGAGGAAGTCAGCAAGAAGAGTGATGATTTGTCAGCAATAGACAAATTTTCATTCATTCCTAGGGTACTTAAATAAGACATCATTTTTATAACATAAAAAGTTCATGCTCATTAACACCTATAGGTCGCTTTAACAGTTATGCCTCCAGCCCTTACAGTGACACGTACAGATTTTTACACTCCTAAATGTGGCAATAATTCCTAGAGAACACAGCATCCATAAGCTCTTTTCAAATCATACTAAATAGGGACATTTGGTAACAAAAGACTCTAAAGCTGTGTGAACACACTGTGAACAGCAATGCTGGGAAAGCAGCAAAAGAGAATTCTGTAAGAATTTGAGATTTAGTCAAAATCCTGAGGCAGACTACAGCAACTGAAACTGAAATTAGGAAAGGGAATTGAGTTAGTCATCAGTGATGCTTAAGTTCCTAGGTATCCACGACTACTAGTTTTCCAGTTCCCCAAATGATCCCACTCTCCTCCAGCACACAGTTGGCACCACATGCTCATGTAGAACATAAGCAGAGACCTTCAACTACTAAATCACCACTTTCCACTGCGTTCCAACCTATCTTCAGCTGGTCTCCAGCACGGGTATTGGCCACACTGAACTCTGCTCTTGCTCACTAGATCTGATGGGATCATAGCAGCAGAACTGGTAACTGAACAAATCAGGTCATACTGCATATACAAACATACCGTGGCTCCAGCTTCTGCTCTGTTACTGACCGGCACCATCTCCAGCTTGGCATTGTTGGGCAGCCTGGCAAACCTCCACTGCAAAGACAGGTCCAAAACACTCCTCTGAAACCTGAAGGAGAACATAGCCTGAGAACAATACAAAGTCCAGGTACTGAGCAAGAGAATCCCCAAAGGCTGACTAGAAGCCATGGAACATGGACAACTGGTAATTCAGAAAGCAATCATCAACAAAAGCTATTTTGTTCACCAAAACAGCTGCATTTTGCAGAGGTCACAGAGAAGATACCCAAACGTATGTTTCTTCTCAGGTCTTAAAGAGACAAATAACAACTGACTAAATAACCAAGCCTAGTAAATACCAAGATATTCTTATTTTAGCGCCACTCAGAGAAATGGCCTCTCGATTACGACACCATAAAGGCAGAGGGTCAAACCCCCAGGTAAGAAGGGAGACAGGTGCTGCCACTGTGTAAGCTAGGTGAGGTGCATGCGTGGGGCCGTGTCCGTGGCAGTGACACGGGGCCTCGCCGCCTGTCAGCGGAACGTGGCACGGGGACATCGGGAGGCCCTGACCTGCCCGCCACCGCCCGCCGAGAGTCTGCCGGGGCCGGGACACCCCCGGGCGGGCCGCTGGCTCCAGCAGCACCAGGCCCGGCCCGGCGGGCGGGGCCTCTCGCAGGACCGCAGGCAGCCGGGCCCGGCCCCCCCTCCACGACGAGACTCACTTCAGGCCGTACTCGCCAGGACTGCCGCCCTGTTTCCTGCACACCTCCTCGAGGACCTGCGGAGAGAAAAGAGGCGTCACGGCCGGCCCGCGGCCCCCCTCCCCTCCCCGCCCCGTGGCGGACCCACCTGGAGCAGGACCGTGCCGGGCCCCACCCGCACCGTGACCCGCCGCCCGCTGGGCGCCAGCACCGACACGGCGGCACCGCCCCCACCCGCCGCCGCCATCTTCCGCCAGCGCCGGACCCGCGCGGCCGGGGCGGAGCCGGCCCGGGGCCGGCCTGCTGTGGGCCCGCCCCGCCGCGCGCGGACCACGGCCGAGGGAGGCGAGCGGGGGTACCAGCCCGGTCGGGCGGCTGTGGAAGCGTGTCCCGGGCGAGTCCCGGTCCGGCTGAACCGGCCGGCGGCGGCACGGGCAGGCGGCTCTGGAGCCGGGGCCGGAGCGGAGCCGTTCGCCCGCGACGGGCGGCGGTTCCCGGAGCGCGAGGGGCTCGCAGCAGCGGCCCCTGGGCAGCGCAGACACGGGGCGGCTCGGGCCGCTCTCCCGGCGGGGGGCGGGGGCGACCCTCGGCCCTGCCCGCTGGGCCGTGGGGGGAGCGGCTCCGGGACCGCCGCCGTCCCGCAGCTCCGCGGGGAGCGGGAGCAGAGCAGCCGCACGTCCCGCCGTGGCTGACGGCGCTGTGTTGCCCCTTGGTTTTCCAACGTCGGGATCAGTCACCTGCTCCGAGGAAATAAAACACTTCCTCGTTGTACCGGGCCCACCCCCCGGCAGCGTAGGGGGCGACCCCGGACCGAGAGCACCGGCCCTGCCAGCCCCGCGACCACCGCAGGCAGCGCCGGCCGCTCCGGCCCGGGCACCGCTGCTGGCCAGAACTGCCTTGGGCTGATGGATTCCTGGCTGTCTCCCGAGCAGTGATACCGAAAATCCCTGCGCGTACAAAAAAGGTTCTCCTGTGCCAAGTAACAGGCCTGGCGAACCCCGCATGTCAGAGGGGAGCGTCCTTTAGGATGCACTGCCAGTGCCACGGAAGTGTCCGGGCAGTGTCACAATCAGGGCATCGCTGGTCGCACAAAGCACTGCATCCTGCTGCCCTCGAAAGCCATTTCTTCTCGCCAAAAAAAAGAGAAAAAAGTTGTTTGGAAATCTTATGGCCAGTGCTGCAAACTCATCTGGTCAAGTGAGATGGCTGTAGCCAAGGAACTAAAATTATAATACATTTTACAATACAACATTTCCCAGAGACTTTATTTTATTTATGTACTTCCCCTTCGCTCTCAGCATGGCCTTCTCCAGTCAAAGGCACTGTCAGATTCAATGACAGTCTGTTTTGTTTACTATCATTAAAAACCCCCAACCTTTTAGTTTGAGTAACCACTGGAATTTATTTAGCCTAAGTTGTAACCACATGCCAAATACTTTCTGTACTTCTATATTTATCATATATGTTAAGCTTAAGTCCCTACTGCTACCCCCAGCACTCAGAAAAATGTCTGCTTTGCTTGGCTTATAAAAGAAAAAGATCCCTTTTAAGGAAAGACACTTTTGTAAGATATAACCCTTGCTTGTTTTTACCATATCAGCAGTGTGGGAGAAAGGAGAAGAGTGGATGGGAATTTTAATGATGGAGAGACATGCCCTTTCTTATGCAAGTGGATTTCTAAGTCCGCCCAACACTGTAACTGTTCAGTGAGACACAGCAACAGTAATAAAGGATGCCCAGGTCTATAATGTTTAAAACAACACTTTAAAATGTCTTTACTTTTGTTCTTTCCATTCCATTGGGCAGCATCACTGCCACAGCACTTATAAAGTGTTCAGGACATATTATATGATTCCCTATCTTTTCAACTGTTTTTTGCTTAAAACACATGAAGACTTAAGGGCAAAATTGTTCTGAAAGTTGACATACTTTTGCCTAAAAAATGTTCAAGTCCTTCTTAGTCTTTAAAACAGGGCAGAGATCCAAAGCTCTTTTAGCATCTCACACACAATGAAGATATCCTGTCCTTCCACTAATTAATACTTTTATAGAAGGTATGAAGGAGAAGAAGAAAATAAGATGGCTCTGTTAACTGCAGTGATTATCTTGCTGCTCAGGCAGAGCAGCCATTCCATTTTAAAATAAGCATTTTGGGTTACATATCCCAAAACACTGGTCTCATTTCTGGGTGGGGGTAGCTCCTATTTGATGTCTAAAGCAGGCAGCTGTTTCCTATTTTGCATTTGGAAGTGACACATCCCTTAAAGAAATGTTGCTCCTGTTAAAAAGATACCAATGTAATTTGAGCTGAACACTTCCAAGTTGCGGGTTTAGAGGTGCTCTGGTTATTAATGGCATGGCAGAAAGTTGCATGGAGGTGAAGGGTCACATTTCATACCCAGAGCCACTTTTAATCTCAAATATTTCTCTGAAATTAGAAGCATCAGGAGAGAAAGAAGAGGGAGGTAACTACAACCTGGAGTTCATTAAAGTGCCACAAAGAAAGAGGAACTCATTAGGGAATGGCTGAAAACACCCTTAATTCAGATTTCTGCCACTGGCTGAAGGATGCCTGCAAATCTATCAGGTGAGCGCCAGCCAAACAACGTCCTCAAAAAACTTCTCATAAATTGCATTTCTTTGGTAATTAGAGTGGACACACCACAGAATGACCTTCCTTAATCCCACCTTTCAGGCAGCTGGTGCTTTGCATTCAATATGTAGCCCTGGCACTGTCTCCTTCTGCATTCAGTCACAGGCACACAGGGAGAAACACACATTTGCTTCTTCATAAAGCAGCAAAACCTCCCCCACACTTTTTTTTCTTTCTTCTTTCAAAAGGAATAGGAAATTAGCTGTGAACATCTAGAAACATGTAGTAACCAGCTCCAAAAGAGGATGCAGAACAAGCTACTTATCACAGTAACAATGATTCTGCAATGTGTTTCCTGCTGCCTGTACAAACGTCACTGACCGCGCAGAGTCCTGGAGACGTTCAATGCTCGTTTCTCACCCGAGCATTGCCCAGCACGTCACACTTGTACCCAGGCTATGAGTGAGCTCTGCTGCTCTCCCAGAGTTCTTTACACCTCCCAGCCCCAGGGTCAGAGGAGGCAGCAGTAGCATGACTGTGCAAAACTGCAGAATTGTTCCTGTTGGGGAGTATTGTTCTATGGGGTAATGGACACCACACACACACACACACACACACACTTCTGATCAACACAAGACCCAAGAAACAAACCAGAGAACTTCCACTGAGCCAGGCTGCAGAGTGGCTCAAATGAGGCATTGAGATCTGGGCTACAAAGAGGAACCATACCCATGGCATGAGGCCTTACACAGGACTCCAGGTGTAACCCTCTTGATTCCAGACAGGGTAAACACCCAAAGGGCAAGTGCTCGGCCTGCCTTGGTCCTGACAGCGTATGAGGAAACTCAGAACCGTCTCATAAGCTTTTGCACAGCACAGTCCAATATACTGAACATATAGAACTATCTTGAGACATAGTGGAATACATTATGCAGGACATTTCACTTTGGAAGGTATTAAATGAAAACAGCATCTCCCTTAACGTTATTCCCAATCATTAAAAGTTTCTTGCTTGCCTCTTACATGCCTCACTCCTACCAATAAAAATGCCCAATCTTCAGTGCCTGGAGCAGGACTCCAATTTTTTCAGCTTTCTCTGAGCTTCCTTTGGTCTGAGCCTCATCTATTCAATGGAGGCAGTCTCTAATAAAAAGATTAAAACTCACTGAAACCCTCATGCTGAAGGAGAGTGTTCTAACATTCTCTAAAATCTGTATTACTTTGATGTTCTTTCAAGTTTAGTATGTCAAGGAGTTGAATGGTACCAGATTTAAATGTCTAGAAGTCAAAGTCTGTGATGCCAGACCCTCCTACAGCCTTACACTCTTCCTCACAGCCCCTTGCTCTGCCATGACAGGTAATAAAACATTTTACTGGGCTTTGGAAGGATAACAAGAGTGCTCTGAAAGATCCCTCCTAAGTGACCTGAACCAGAGCTAATAAAGCTGAGGTGGGCTCATTAAGGACAAGCCAGGCAAAATTTAAATTTTTTTGCATCACCTCTTGGGACAAAGATCTGCAACTTTAACACACATTCCTCTCCACCCCTAGGTTCTTCTCTGGTGCATGATACTTAGTCACCTCTTAATGCACCCACTGGTACAAGGCCTTATGGAGTGCAGGGATTCAGCCCTCCCCAGAGAGAAGGATCACAGGCACCAGAAGGAACACAAGCTCAGCATCAGGAGGCACGGCAGTTTTTCTCTGACGGATGGAGTTCAGCAGTCTTATCCCTCCCAGTTTCTTGCTGTAGCTATTGGACTATGAGGTCCTAGAGTTGTTTATAACAACTGTTCCAGTGATCCCGGAACACTCTGAGGACTTACTGCTCTATCTGTTCATATTTTGCACCAACAGAGCAGTTTCCACCTGCGGCTATACTCAGGCTGACCAACGAGCTCTGCAACTTGCGGCACCTAGTCCCAGTGATCCATTGCTCAGACCTGGCATGGCCAGTGAGGAAAGGATATTTAGGTCAGCGAAAGGAAAGAGATGATAATACAGGAATGTACTAGGACCAAACACCTATCAGGGAGCGAATGTAGTGCATTTGTGGAGGGGTATGGTCAATGTAATGGCTATTCCTGGCTACAAAGTTACCAAACTTTCAGATGTTTACATGAAACATCTGAAGGTAAAAATCTGAGTGAGGACAGAGCAAGAACTTAGAGTGGGTAAGAGTAATTGAAAGATAAAAACCCCAACGTGGCAAGCAAACCAAAACAACATGTAGGAAAATCAGAGCTGAGGACATACTCAGAAAGTCCAGACATGATAAGGTAAAAAAATGTAGTTGCAGCAGCTGAACAGCCCTAACTTCCGCTTGACAAAAAGCCCTTCAATGTACTATTTTAAGATTGTACTATTTCAAGATTGTACTATTTCCACCTTTTCTGATCCCAGATAGATTATATTTCCCAGTAAAGACAGCATCCCTGCTCCTTTCTGGAGGGCTGTTGGAAGAGCATGAGCTGTCCCATTTTGTATCTACATTAATAACTCAAAGCATAGCATTATCTCTGTTTTTCCTCGGTTTTCAATTCCAAGGTCGGAGATAGAGGCAGCATTTTCGTGGATTCCCTCTCTCAGATGACCGGCACTCTGGTGACAACAGGGCTTTTTCTCCAGGATTCTTCCTGCAATCACTGGAATCTTTCGGGACCCCGGGAACAAGCGGGGAGAGCTGCCAGCGGTAAACCTCGTGAGTTGCCGAGAGCACCAAGGCGAAGCCTCGGCGGTGAGGAAACTCCGGCCCCCGGGAAAGCCGCGCCGCCGGCCGGGGGCTGCAGGGGGCCCGGGCCCCCCCGCCTTGGGCCTGCCGCCCCCCGGCCTCCCTGGGGCCTCTGCATCCCCTCCCGCTCTCGGCAGCAGCATCCTCCGGTCGGGGGCGATCCGCCGCCCGCCCAGGTCACCGGCGGGAGCTACGCGCAGGAGACGCCGATGTCTGGGGCCAAATGACCGGCCTCCCGCTGCGCCCTGCGAAGCGAGGCAAGGCCGGAGCCCAGCTCCGCGGCCCACCCCCGGGCCGCCGCGGAGGGCCCCACACCAGGGGAGCCAGGGGGCGCGGGGCCGAGCCCCGCCGGCGGCGGCGGCACGTCCCGGGGCGGGGCAGGCAGTGCCGCCCACGCGGAGCCGGGGAGGAGCTGCCGTCGAGGCCGCGGGGAGAAGGGGGGAGGGGGAAAATGGGGGGCGCTGCCGTGGGGGCTGCCACGTGCGGGGCCACGCTCCCAGGCGGCCCGACCTCCCCCCCGGCTCCGACGAGAAGCCGCCCCGGGCCCCCGCCGCCCAGCGGGTGAGGCTGGCGGCCGCTGCCACCACCGCGGCCCCGGCGCCGGTAGGGGCGGCGATGGCGTCGCCGTCGGGCTCGGGGCGCGCCCCGACGGAGCGGCCCGCCGCACCGGTGCGGCGCGCCGCAGACCCCCCGCTCCCTCCGCCTCGCTCCGAGGGGGCGGAGGGCAGGGCAGGGCGGGGGCTGGCCGGCTGCTGCCCCACGCGGCGCCCGGGCTGGCGGCGCCCCCGGCGCGCTCCCCGCGCACTCCGTGCCCCTCTGTCATGCTCGCCGCCTGGGAGCGGGCGGCGGGCTCCTGTGCCGGCAGCCGCGCCTCCGAGCCCGCGCCGCCGGCGCTGCCCTCGCCGCCCGCCGCCGACCCCCGTCCTCGCGGGTGGCGCGGCGGGGCGCGGCGGAGCGCGGGCGGCGCTGCCCGCCGCCGAGGGCTGGCTGCTGCTGCTGCCGCCGCGGCAAGCGGCGGGTGGCGGCGGGCGGCGATGGGCACGGCGGCCGTGCACCTCCTGCTGCTGCTGGGACTGCTGCACGCCGGGCCCGGCGGCGAGGGCAGGAAGGGCTGGCGGCGGCGAGGCCCGGCGACCCGCGAGCGCGGCGAGGCGGCGGCGGCGGCCGCCGAGAGCTTCCCGTTGGACTTCACCGCCGTGGAGGGCAACATGGACAGCTTCATGGCGCAGGTCAAGAGCCTGGCGCAATCGCTGTACCCCTGCTCGGCCCAGGCACTGCCGCACGACCTGCGCCTGCATCTCCTGCACAACTCCTCGGTCACCTGCAACGACGGCAGCCCGGCTGGGTGAGTCCCCGAGCCGCGCCGGCCCCTCCGCGCGCCCCGGGGCTGCCCCGCGCGGCCGCCGGCGCTCCCCGCGGCCCCGGCCCCGAGGGCTGCGGCGCCACCGCGCGGCCGCGCGCGGCACCGCCGGCGACAGGTGCAACGAGCGCCTCCCGGGCGGCGGGCCCGGCGCCTTCCCCGGCCGGGCGCGACCGGCGCCGGTGCCTCCGCGGCTCCCGCCGCCTCGGCGCGGCTCCGGCCCGGGCGGCACCAGAGCGCTGCGGCCGGGCCCGGTTCCCGCTCAGGCGCCCCTCTTTGTCTGTGCCCGCAGGTACTACCTGAAGGAATCCAAGGGCAGCCGGCGGTGGCTGCTGTTCCTGGAAGGTGAGCGCCGGCGTCCCGTCCCCCGCAACGGCGACCGCGAGCGGGGCGGCGGCCCGAGGCTGCTCTCGGTGCCCCGACCCCCGCGGGCTGCCGTCCCGCGGCCATGGGCCCCCGGCCCCTCGGGGCCGCCTGACCCCTGTCCCCTCGCCAGGAGGGTGGTACTGCTTCAACAGAGAGAACTGCGACACCCGCTACGACACCATGCGACGGCTGATGAGCTCCTGGGAGTGGCCCGCGACCCGCGTGGGTGAGTCGCTCCGAGAAGCAGCCCTGAGGGACCGGGGCCGGGCCTCGGCAGGTGCCCGGTCGCTGCCCCGTGATGCTCCCACGCCACGGGCACGGGCAGGCATTTGGGTGCACAGGTATCGCCGGTACTGAGTGCTGTTCTCTTCACTCTCTCTGCTTGTGCTCCAGCCACCTGGATACTCAAAAACAGATCGCTTAATTGCATGTAATGGAATTCACTTGCTATCATTTGTTTTTTCGGGAAGTATTTAAGTAGGCATCACAGGTCTTTTCTGTACTGTAAGAAGCTTCTAGACAGGCTTCATCTGTGGCACGAATCAAATTCTCAATGTCACATCTGCCTAAGGGCAAATTTAGAAATGTTCTTTCCACTTCCCTTACTGATGTTTTTCATCATGAATGTTTGTTTCCTGTGTGGTCAGAGGAGTTGCATGAGGCTGATACGGTTCCTCTGAAGTCACAGACTAATCTGTACGTTTCTTGTTTCTTTGTGCCCATCTGCAGGAACTGGGATCCTGTCCTCGCAACCAGAAGAAAATCCCCACTGGTGGAATGCAAACATGGTGTAAGAAGGGACAACGGAGGGAAGTAGCTTTATACTTAAGCAGCATCTCCTGCCTTTTAGGCTGGTAAAAATGCTGCAGAGATGGGTTAAAATTAATACTTGGGAGAGGAAACTGTGTGTTTCCTCATTTGATGTAGTTCAGCTCTCTAACAAATAGGGCTGCAAGGTCCAGAGAAACTTAAGTTCAGTCTCCTTAGGGTTGTGGGGTGATCTAATGGAGAAAAACTGGGGATATCCTATAGAGCCTTCTCAAATGGCTGCAGTGGCAAATCTGTCACAAGTGGTGGGCTGATTGTGTGTTACACATCTGCCAATTTGAGAGGAATGTGGAGCAGCTCTCTTAGTTCAAAGAGAAATGAGAGAGACCAGTTTGTATATGCATCTGTACAGAAGGGATGTTAATTTGTGTCCTGCAAGACGGGGAGACAAAAGTGGGAAGCTAATTCCTTCAAAAACTTTCAGTGGTTGCAGTCAGAATTTATACTGCACTGACAAGAGTCTTCTCATTTTCCATGTGAAAAACTGAAGCATAGAGAGTTTCCCTGTGGCAGACCATCCACCATGGGATAGCTGAGAGAAAAATCATGGCCCATCATTCTGTCTCCTGAGCTCAGTGCTTCAATTAAATTGATAAGAGACATTTATTGGTTTAACTCAGTAAAACTAGTAGTATTCAGCAGAAAATTCAAGGCAGTTGCAAATGTCACTTGTTTTACGGGAAGGTAAGTTGTCAAACTGGACAGAAACTCTTCCCTTTTCCTCTTCCCAAGGTTTAATTTTCTTCCAGTTAGGTGACCCCATCCTCACCCCACTGTGCCTGTCGGAGGCACAGCAGGACTCACACAGCTCTCTCTTACAGATTCATCCCATATTGCTCCAGTGATGTTTGGAGCGGTGCCTCCTCCAAGTCTGAGAAAAGTGAGTGTTGCTGATGGGCTGTTGCTGCCCCAGACATCACACATTAAAGGATGTGGCCAAACTTCTGTGGAACCACATGGATGAAGAACAGGCTTTTTCTTGCTGAAGGGCAGGAAAGAATATCAAGCTACTTCCAGATAAAACATCCTGATCTCTTTAGCTCAGGCTGTGTTGACATAGTTCAGAGCCACTGCTTGCAGAGATGTTACACTGATCCAGTATGCGAGGATTAGAAGAACAAAATTCCTTTTAGATGAATCTCCAGGTTCTAGCACGCAGCAAATTAATTGGTGTAGCTGAATGACCGTGGCCTGTTGCATGTGACTTTGGTGTGGCTTACCTGAGAGGAGGGACTGTGAATTTAGTATCAGACTTTAATCAGGAGGATATTTGGCCTTAGATAGGAGCCCTTGTGTGTCAGGCTAAAGCTGTCTGCAGGTTTCTTGGGAATCAGAGAATAGTTCATATTCATACATGCATTGCCATTGGCTGTCATTCTGTTGATGTCACAGGTACCTTTTCACTTCATCCTAGTTCCTTGGAGCTGTTCCCATGGAGCAGTTACACATCAGTAACCATGGCTGCTGGTGGTACCTAGGAAGTGGTGTCTGTGTAGGTGTAACACTTAGTGAAGCATTGCTTGTCTGAATTGGCTTGATGAATGGGGAAAAAGGGGAAGCAGTGAGTTGGAACTGAGATTCCAGGTGGTAGAAAGGTGTGTGTGTTCCTCCTGTATGGAGATAGGGTCCCAGCACCTTCTTTCTTGTTTGCCTTCTCTGAGTTTACTCATTTCTAAGCACTGTTGTAGGAAGGTACTTGTGTAATTGTGTGTTCAGATCACTCTATTCACTTTCTTTCAGGGAAGCAAGTTTTTTACGGGGCAGGGAGAGTCTCTTGTTAGGTGTAGTTGGTACAGGTGGATAAAGTGAACCTGGGTTTTGGTTCACAATCCCTTTGTAAAGTTTTTAAGCATTTTTGGGGAGGAAGTAAAAGTCTGAGCCTGGACAGAAAACAATTTTGTTGACACTGATCTGTCTCTTCCAGATGAATATGCCTTCATGGGAGCACTGATCATTCAGGAGGTTATAAAGGAGCTGGTAGGAAAAGGTCTGAGCACTGCAAAAGTGTTGCTGCTAGCGGGGAGCAGGTGGGTATCCACAAGATTCTCTCTGGTGAGGACAGGAGATTTTCACAGTAGAAATTTGTTAGGAAAAGTTGCTTCTAGGACTACAGTAAGAGTAACATAGCAAACCCTGTATCTCTTCTCAGTTTTCTCCTCTAAGGGGTACAACAGGGGATGATACAATATTATTTCCACAGCTTCTGGTCCAGATAGAACCAGAATAGTAATAGAAATTAGTAACAGATAAAAGAGTAACAAGGCAAAAGCTTGCAAGATAACGAGATAAAACCTTTGTGTTCTCTGCATCAAGAATGCTGGTTCCTGCTGGCACACATGATGAGACACACCCCTGCTGCAAATTGATTCAGGACACCAAATTCAAAATCAGACTTGCCTCACATAGGTGCGCTAGATCGTCCTGTGTTGCTCTGGTACACTCAGCATATGTTACACAGGAGTATAATAGAGAAGCTGCAAAAGGTGAATTTGTCTCACTTCAGAGTCTTTCAGTTTTTGAGCAGCCAGTGCAAATGATACAGAGCACGTGTATCTGCCAGAAGAGAGAATTACAACAGGACGTGGTTTCTGAGGTATCAGATTGTTACTCAGCACAGTTACTTTATTTGTGAGTGTTTTGCAAAGCAAGGAAATAACGTGGTGACTACCAACTTCGTGGTGAATGGTTGGGTAGCTCTGCTGTGGGTAAGTGAAGGTGTTTATAGTATGTCACTGCTGGCTAGGTGTGTAACACCTGTGTGTGCCTCATGACTGCAGTGTTGATGTTGCTGTTGCAGTGCTGGAGGGACAGGAGTGCTCCTGAACGTGGACCGAGTGGCAGAGCAACTGGAGGAGATGGGTTATCAAGGGATTCAGGTTCGAGGCTTGGCAGACTCTGGATGGTTCTTGGATAACAAACAGTATCGCAGAACTGACTGTATCGATACCATAACGTGTGCTCCAACAGAGGCCATCAGAAGAGGAATAAGGTACAGTCAGATACTCTAAAGTACACTGCTGTAGGAGGCTGGATTGTGGAGAAGATGTTCTCCTTCTCTATCTTCTTTCATTTTGATACTTAAAGAGTATTTATCCTCTACATCAGTGGTTTTTCAGTAACTTTATTGAAAAAGACAATAATGTAAAATCTAGACATGTAAAAGAACACATGCAGTTGTAGGTGCTCTAAAATGTGTTGATGGGACAATGTAGCCAAGAGAGAGGTGTGCTATCAGTTGGAACTCTAATCAGAACAGAAATAGATGGCCCAGGAGAGGCAGTTGTTAGGATTGCCCTGTGCCTCTCATTCTGTTATTGCTTTGTTTCCTAGATACTGGAATGGCATTGTTCCTGAACGCTGTAAGCTGCAGTTTAAAGAGGGAGAGGAATGGAATTGTTTTTTTGGATATAAGATTTACCCCACTCTTCGATGTAAGTTTCAGAGGAGAGATATAAAATGGATTCTGAAGTTTCCTCTGTATCCACAACTATCTTGGAGCAATCTTTTTCAAATTTTTTGTCTTCCTAGGTCCAGTCTTTGTTGTCCAGTGGCTCTTTGATGAGGCCCAGCTTACTGTAGACAATGTACACCTCACTGGCCAGCCTGTTCAGGAAGGGCAGTGGCTCTACATCCAGAATCTGGGTAGGGAGCTGAGAAACACCTTGAAGGATGTGACGTAAGTGTTTCATTGAGGAAAATATGGCACATCTGTTTCTAAGGGACATTCTTATCCAGTGTCCTGGTATTGTTTCTCAGATGTCTGCTGCAAAAAGAATGTTGTAAGTTTGGTAACTGTTAGCACATCCGCATCAAGCATCTTTCATTTCTGGGTAAAATTCCATCTTCTCCCTAGTCCAGAATATTCTGTTCAGCAGGAGTTGCTTTGTCCTTCAAGATGTAATCCATGTTTCCTTTCTTTCTTTAGTGCAAGCTTTGCTCCTGCCTGTTTGTCCCATGAGATCATCACACGCAAGTGAGTTCTTGTGCAGATCCTCTGAGAGGTGAACAGGGACGTGGCTGGGGAACGAGCCCATCCTGGCATCCTCACCCCTCTGATGAGACCTGTGTGGTTTGTCTTTTCAGTCACTGGACTGACATCCAGGTGAAGGGGACGTCGTTACCCCGTGCCTTGCACTGCTGGGATCGGAGCCTGCATGAGAGCAACAAAAATGGGAAGGCCCCTCTGAAAGGCTGCCCAATTCACCTGATTGATAGCTGTCCATGGCCTCACTGCAACCCCTCATGCCCCACAATCAGGGACCAGTTCACAGGGCAGGAGATGAATGTGATCCAGTTCCTCATGCATATGGGGTTCGATGTTCAGAAGATGGCACAGCAGCAGGGCCTGGAGCCCAGTAAACTCCTGGGGATGCTCAGCAGTGATAACTAGGAAGGGCTTGTCATAGAGGCGGGGCAGAGATTAGATCAGGAGGAGAGAGACTCTCAGCCCTTCTCCCACACTTTCTAATCTTCTTCCTTGCACTCCTGCAGGCAGATGCACGCTCACATCCATGCACGCTCACACCTGTGCACACCCATGTGCTCCCACACTCTTGCACACTTTAGGGTGTGTCAAGAACAAAACAAACAAAAAAGCAGTTTCTTGCTTACACTGGCCGGAACTCGTTCCCTCCAAACTCCAGGGTTGAGTTTCAGCCAGTCACATCCTCTTCCTGTGTTACACAAGGCAATTGGATACAGGGAGTAGCAAAGCCATAAATAGCAGCGATGAGAACCTTTCCCAGATCTGAGACGTCTTCCCTTGCCATGAATTTTACATCATAGACTTTATACAAGTGGTGTAAAAAGCAAGCACTGGATTTCTTCTGTCCAACTAGAAGTGAAGGAGTGATTACATGGTTTCCTGGAGGTCAGCATCTCGTGCTGAGTCACAGTATACAGACCCAGGACACGTGCTAGGGATGGACACTCTTGTACTCAATTTATTCGTATTATTTTATAAAATGACTTTTTTATTACTTTTTTTTAACTAAACAAGAAATATAAATGATATTGTTTTGTAACATATTTTTTTTTAAATAATGAAGAAACCTCTTGCTACTTTGGCAACGTGGACATATTTATTTTAATGTGTAAAATGCTATTTATAAGGGCTGACCAGAGAACCATACCTATGTCTTTGTAAAGTTGTATATGCTGCTCATTTGGATGGGTTATCCTGATGGTCACTTGTACCTGGGAGAGGGCTAAGGGTGGTGTTGACAATTTTTTATTAATTAGATTTCTGTGTTCCCCTTGCAGTGTTCCTTGTCATTGTTTCTCTGATGAAGAGTTGTAACATGAGGTTTAAATACAGAGACTTTCACCCAGCAGACTTCCACAGCGTTTTTGGCTTGGCTGTGATTTCCCAGGTACTCCAGGGCACTCCACTGGATGGTGCAGGGAGATCTGGCTTTGCAGTAAAGACCTGTCTTCCAGTGAGGGAAATATTTGATCAGACTGTCAAAAGCATTTGGAACAGCAAAGACAGCACAAGACAAGCATCAACATATTTCTCTTCTTGTAGTCATTTGGGAACACACCCACTTCAGCACAGAGAATCCCCTTTGATGACAGGGGGAGGAGAGCAAGAGAGGGATTGGGAATTTGTAGAGGAGACCATTCCTGGGGTGGGAGTTTCCCCCTGCAGCACAGGGTGTGGGGAGACTTGCATGAGGAGTATGCCTTACTCCCTGCTGCAGGAGGTTCTGGGACCAACTGTGTGTGGTTACACAGTGTGTAGGCTACAAAGAATTTGGGCCTTTTTTTAGAAAAATTCCCTGCGCTTTCAAGATGGACCTTACAAGGTTAGAACGGTGGTGTTGTTCGTGAGATCCCTTGTCTTGGGTGAGTAAACCCCAAGAATGAACCAAACTGTAGGCCTTTGGTTCCTTTTCATGGACTTCAGGAAAAGTCGGTCAGGAACACAGAGGGAATCAGCTGTCCTGCTATGCGTGATGGGATTAGCACATATTGAAGATAAAAAAGTAGCTAAAGAGAAAATGACTGGTACTGCCAGCAGAACTGAAAAACAGGAAAACATCATTGGAGTTTCCCTATGATCAGTTGGGTGATTACTGATATCCTTTATGTTTTAATGACTTGGGTATAAAAGTAAAATTATCCTGATTATGTTTTTCATCTGTTTTCTGCTGTGCAGAAGCCACTGACAAAAGGGCAAGGCTGGAAGAATTTGGTACCATGTGTTAGTGCTCTAAGATCTTGCAACTAGATGAGATTTTTTTGTCTCAGAGGGAAAGTGCCTGTGGTCCATTTGGTGCACTGCTCTGCTGGTGTGATTTTGGGGACCTTTGCCTTCTGCCAGCACTGCCTTCAGCACTGAGGGCTCTCCAGAGGGCACCACTTCCCATGGCATAGCAGAACCTGAGCAGCAGGACCAGCTCTGCCCCCTGAGCCCAGTGTCACCGATTGGTCACGGAGTGCAGGGCAAGGGGGGATGTGTCCTCAGGTGGGCTGTGACATGGAGTGATCCTGTGCTCTCTGCTGGTCCCTGGGCAGGTAGTAAGTGATGACCAGGATATGCCACAGTACAGTCAGTAGCACACTGGCAATGAGGCCTGGAAAACTTCTAGAGGTGAAGAGAGAGTCAGGAAGGGCAAGACTTTTCAGGGGAGAACCTCATCACCTGGAGCTCCTCTGCTGTCCTGCTGCATTTCCTGGTTGTTGTGATGTTAATTGTGCAACTTCCATCCCAAATGAATACAGGTTTTGTACTTTTAGCACCAGAGGTCTTAAGGAAAATTGGAGGGACTTGAATGAAAGAGACGCTGAGGTTACAAGACAGTGTCAAAACTGAAGGTAGGCACATTTTATCCTAAGAGCCACAAAAACTGTACTGTTCTTAGGTGAACTATTCCATAAAGTTACCCTGCTTCCACACTGGGATAGGCACTGAAGGTGAGGAGTCAGCAATGCTGCTGTGGGGTAAGGGAGGAATTTTTCTACTCTGTTGTAGTTTTCGTTTTTCCCATTCTGAAACTACATCAGAAATCTTCTTCTGGCCTTTTAGAGTTAGAATTAAGAGACTTCTAGGTAGAGTCAAAGTTTTGGGCATTGTATACCAGGCACGGCTCCCTGTGGAAGCTTTGATCCCACAGGAGGGAGGGTTTGACTCTATATATTGAAATCTGTATTCCAAAACAGAGCTAAGAATATCAAAGCAACTTTTTTTTTTTTTTTTTTTTTTTTTTTTTTAACAACTGTATTTGTTGTGGCATTCAGAGATACAAGAATAACTGGTCTCCACAGAAGTAAAACAGAGACAGGGATGAGTTTAAGGAAACAGCAAGGACTGGCGCGGTAAACCTTCACAGCCACAAGCTCTCACTAAGGCTCAAAGCACAGCAGGTAAATGTATCACTGCTCCAGATCTACTGCAGCAAAGTGAGTCAGCTTTTATCCAGCCTCTGGCCTAAATCCTTTCTTTTGTAGGGTTTGTGCTGCCTTTGGGCTTGTGCCCCGACTCTTGGGTCTGCAGGACTGAGCTCCTGTTCCTGCAGTGTGGCTGGATCACAGCCTACTGCCAGTCAGCCCCCTCCCTTCAGTGCGGGGGTTGCGGGGGGGGTGGAACGGCAGCGTTCCAGTGACCCCAGAGTTTCTAGAACAGCAGAAGGATAATCAAGAGCCTCTGATGGAGCTCGCAGCTTCAGTGTTAAATAACACCGGCTCCCAACAGCTGAGGGGGGGCAGGACTCATTCCAGAACTATTAATAAAGCCCCTATTTATACTCCAGGTTCCTGCAAACGATGCAGCAGAAAACTACAGCTGCGGAGCTAAAATGGAATAAATGTCAGCCTCCAGGGAAAGCACCATCCTGACTGAGGGAGAGGAGACCACAAAAGGACAGGACAGGGGCAGGTTTCAGACCTGAGGAAGCAGACTGAGCAGACGGCAGCACCCTGAGCTCACAACCAGTGGGCAGAGCCAGCCAGTCACCTCCCTGCAGCTGCAGGTCCGTGCAGAAAGCTGACAGAGACGTGGCGTCAGAGGCAGCTCCCACTGATGCCGGCAGAGACCAGCAAGATTTGAGCTGCCACTCCACTGAGTTGGGACCAGGTGTGACTCGGGGCAAAGGAGCAAAAACCTGAAAAGACATTTGAGGGGGCTTTTGCCTGCATTGTCTGCTGGACTGGAAAGATGATGGAGAGCACAGGAGGGCCATATCTAAACACAGCTGCAGTGACCTCTCCCGTTGGAATAGCTCGATTGCTGCAGATGACCTTTGGATGCACCACGTTCAGCCTGGTCGCCCACCAAGGTGGGTTCAGCGCTGCATACGGCACCTTCTGCATGTTTGTCTGGACCTTCTGCTTTGCAATCACCGTGTTCATCATCACCTGTGAGTTCACACACCTGCACAGCTGCCTGAGTCTTTCCTGGGGAAACTTCACTGCTGCTTTTGCTATGCTCGCCACGCTCATGTCCGTCACGGCCGCAGTGATCTACCCACTCTACTTCGTCCAGGTGGGCTGTTACCCCATCGGCTGCGAGGTGAGAGACTTCCGCATCGCAGCCAGTGTCTTTGCAGGCCTCCTGTTTGTCACGTACGCTGCCGAGGTGTTCTTGACCAGGGCCAAACCGGGACAAGTCACCAGCTACATGGCCACCGTCTCCGGGCTCCTGAAAATCGTTCAGGCCTTTGTGGCCTGCATCATCTTTGGGGCGCTGGTGAACGATAGCCAATATGGCAAATATGTGGCGACGCAATGGTGTGTAGCTGTCTACAGCTTTTGCTTTGTGGTGACGGTGGTGGTAGTGGCCTTCAGTGTCACAGGTAAGACTGCCTTGCTGTGGTTCCCCTTTGAGCGCTCTGTGGTCATCTACACCTTTGGGGCCGTGCTGCTTTACGTGAGCGCTGCGGTCATCTGGCCAGTGTTTTGCTTTGACAGCAAGTACGGCTCCCCGCAACGCCCCAGCCTCTGTGCCAAGGGCAAGTGCCCCTGGGACAGCCAGCTGGTGATCGCCATCTTCACCTATGTTAACCTGCTGCTCTACGTCCTAGACCTGGCGTACTCCCAGCGCATCCGCTTTGTCTCACACCTCTGAAACGGGTCAGAGCTGTCCCAGCGCTGTGGAGCCGCTGCGGTTGCAGAGGGATGGGCCGTGAAGCAGGGAGGCACTGGGCAAAACCATCAGCCAAACTTCAAGGTTAAGACTGACTGCATTAACGAGTCAATGACCTGGAGTGGGTGGGCTGCAGCTGACACTAGGCACAGTCCACCTCCCCCAGGGTTCTGCCCCACCTGCCTGGTGCCAGCACGAAGGAATGACGCAGCTCCACGTGCATCTGCCGACAGCAGGAATGCTTGCAGCCAGGGCTACAGGCTACCAGATTACTGATCCAAATATTAGGAAAGACACCAAGGATTTTGAAACTGCTACCAGCACTTAACAGGAACCAACTGACTACCCGGGAACTGGGAAAGTTAAAAGCTGCATCAAGGAACACCAGTCCTGGAGATGAAAACCAATCCCTTGGAGTTTGGGTTAGTTTGGGCAGTGTGGTGAGACATGGAATGCCTGCAAGTGTGAGCAGTCCCAGTCGGGCCGTTTATGAGAAGAACATCATAGCTGTAATAGTATTTTGAACGTTACCAGTCCTTACCCTTCCTCTCCTTCACTGTCTAGCACAGAAAAGGAGTAAACTCAAGCATGTACCTTGGAGGAGGCCTGGGTATTATTTAGCAAACACTAAGTCACTACAGAAATTAAAATTTGCAAAGCTGGGGCTCTGCTGCTGAGAATCAAGGTGCAGAGCAGAGCCAATCTGCAAAGTGACTGCGTGTGACCTGCTGTCCTTGCTCCAGCAGCACAGAAGGTACCTTAGCACATGCTCTGTGTTGGTTCATGGGCTGCTGTTTCTTTATACTGATGTCAAGATTCTTTTTTTCTGGAAGCTTAAAGATAAATTCTGGGGAGATAGGAAAAGGAAGGCAGAGATTTATTGATCTCATAGTGCTGCACAAGAGACCAAATTGGGCAGGGAGGGGGCATGGACAGGACAGGACGTGACAGAACTTGCACACAGTGGTAACAGATTGGGACCACTGCCCCAGAGCAGCTCAGGTGCAGGATTCCCAAGCCCTCTGCATCACTGAGGAGCCACATGTCTTGGACCCATTCCTGACAAAACACTCACTTTGAAGTCTAACACTGTTCAGCTCGGATTTCAGGCTCAATAGGAATCTTCATTTGTTCCAGGGAGAAGCCAGAATGTCCGAGTGCTTGTGCAGCACATGCAGACTCAGTGCTTTGATTAAAATCTCCAGTAGCTGCCTGTGAGAAGCAAGATTTATTTTTTAACCAAATTAAAATAAAGCTGAATGGCAGATGTACACATCTCCTGAGATCTGTATGCTGTCACCCTGCTCTCCACACTCCCATTGCAGCAGAGCCCCTCTGCTTTCTGCCCAAAAGCAGCGCTCGATTTATTTTGGTGTATGAAGCCTGAACACAGACCAAGAAAGTACAGACATGGGACAGCTGAGACCTCTGAGTGGATTCTTTGCAGCAGAGTCACTCAGGAAAAAGGAAGGAAACTTACTTTTTATCAGTGCTTTGTGTGGGGTTTGAAAAGCAAAAAGGGAAAACTTGTTGGGACAGATTATGTTAGATAATTCTGTAGTGAGCAAGGACCAAGCTTAGCAGTGGGAAGCATTAGTCAGGAAACAGGGCAAGAATTGGGATCCAGTAAAAAGGGAATGCATGGAAGAGCCTTCCAAGGGGGTTTTCCCTTCTGCAAGTCCCCATGAAGGGCAGGCAGTCTGGAAGATGTGGTCCAACAGGAGGCTGCTAAGGCAAGACCCAAGACTATCTGCTATAGATATAAATCAGGAGCTTTATTTCTTGCCACCCAAAAGACTTACAGGTGGTACAAGTACAAAATGCTGATTTGGGAGAGGAAATTCACTCGTGTTGGAGGAGGCAGTTTACAAAGAACCACTGCACACGAAGGGACCTCAAGCCTTTACAATGTATTCCTGTTAAACCCACCAATGTGAACAAATTAAGCTGTGTCGCTCTTTAAAATTACTTGTTTTTTGTTATTACAGAGCACTAAAAGCCAAACAGATGCCTGTGAAGCACCATGGCTTCTGTTATAAAATTCAACCCTGCAAGCCCAGGCAGGTTGCTTAAGGAAAGCCCTGTCCTACAGGCTCTGGTGTGGCTCAGGAGGCTGGGAGGGCCAGGGAGAGGGTCCCCAGCAGTCAGTGCCTGCAGGCTGGGGGTGCTTGGCCCCAGATGTGACATTGCCAGTCGCTAAGGCAATGGCAACTGTTGGAAAGCCCCTTGGCTGGTAGCTGTGGTTCAGCCAGGCACTGCTGGCTTCTTGCTGGGAAGACTTTACACCAAGTAGGAGCAGGAGCAGCAACATGATAAAATCTGACAATGACATGGAGTTGATGTAACTTACACTGAGCCAGGGACAAAGAAAGGCCAGAGAGAAACAGGTAAGTAGGAAACAACGGGGATAAAATTGAATGCCTTCACAATGAGGAGAAAATAGAATTTAACATGGAAATCACGATCCCACTGACTGGAAGAGTGAAAGACAAGTCATTGCCAAGAACAGCGTGTTCAGATTTAGCTTTCTCATCTGCCAGCCAAAGACCGAGCAAAAAATGTGAGCATGGTCAAAATGGCAAAAAAAGATTGTGTGGACAACAATCCTTTATTTTAGGAGAAAAAAAAATAATAAAAAAAAATCAAAACCTCATGCTTTAGTGGTTAAAACACTCCCCAACCACTGGAAACTATGAGATTGCCCAATCCAGGGCAGAGGACATCCAGTATTTGCTCAGCAGGATTTACCAATCAGCTGTGTCATGATTCAGTTCATCAAACCCCCTTCATTTCCAGAGTGTATCTACCCCCTTAATTAATAGATAAGGATCAAGTAGGTCACCGTGAACGGGGCTTCAGGATACATCAACCATCCCCAAGGTTTTTTGGTAAGCTGATGCCAGGATGTATGCGCGTTCATTGAGCATTACAGACTTGTGTTTGCAGCCAATCTCTACAGCGCCCAGAGGATTCCAGCCTGGACAGATTGATATAAAAATCTGAATCGCTAACACGTTGGGTTTGGTTTGGTTTTTCCCTTCTCCTTCTGAAGCCTTTTGGTTCCGTATGGCCAAAAGACAGTGTTTAGGAACATTCACTTGCAGGAAAAACACTGAGATTTATTTCTGTCAATCAAGGAGCAAGAAAAAAGCCATAAAAAAAGAAACCAATGTGGTAAGATGACATTCAGGAAAAAAACCACTGCCCGTTGCCTGGGATTTACAGAGACACTTCACACCGTTCCGGTTTCTCCACAGCCCAGGGCCGCGGGGCTCTGGGCGCGGCCACCCCCGGTGCTCGGGGCAGACCCCGAGGTCACACTGCCCCGGGTCCGGCTGGGAATCGGGCGACGGAAACTGCCCCGCACCTCACGTGGAGGGAAATCCCTCGGGAAACCTGCAGGCAACTCCCAGAGCACGAGGTGCCGCCGCTCCGGGACCAGCGGCCGCCGGGCCGCTCCCGCAGGGCCGCGTCCCGGCCGAGGCGGGTGGCGGGGAGGGGGGAACCTTTGGGGTACGGAGCGGAGGGAGTGCACGGGAAGCCCAGAGCCGCTTCTCGTGCCAGCTGCGCCCCGGCCCCGCGGGGAGGGCGGGCCAGGCCGGGGGGCGGTGCTGGCGCGGCAGCCCCGGGAGCGGGGGGGTCGGGCCGGAGGGCGGGGCTGGCGGGACAGAGCGGGGGTCGGGCCGGAGGGCGGGGCTGGCGGGACAGAGCGGGGGGGTCGGGCCGGAGGGCGGTGCCGGCGGGACAGAGCGGGGGGGTCGGGCCGGAGGGCGGTGCCGGCGGGACAGAGCGGGAGGGTCGGGCCGGAGGGCGGGGCTGGCGGGACAGAGCGGGGGGGTCGGGCCGGCCCCGCCGGACGCTCCCGCGAGGCTACGGCGGGCGCACAGCGCCACCTGGCGGTAGGGCGCGTGCCCGCGGGCGGCGAATGATGCAACACCCGGGTCCGGTTGCCCCAATAGCGGGCGAGGGCTGCGCCTTTGGCCCCGCCCCTTACCGCTGAGTGGCCGCAGGGCCGGCGTGGCCCCGCCCCGCCCCCCGCCGATTGGCTACGCCCCGCCACCGAGCCTGGCGATCCCGCCTCCCTGCGCGCGCGGCCACGTGGACGGCGGCGGGGCCGTGTCCGCATCGCACCGATCATGAGCGTGGGCTTCATCGGCGCGGGGCAGCTCGCCTTCGCCCTGGCCCGGGGCTTCACGGCGGCAGGTGGGCGCGGGGCAGCTCGCCTTTGCCACGGCCGGGGGCTTCGGGGCGGCAGGTGGGCGCGGGGCAACTCGCCTTTGCCATGGCCGGGGGCTTCGGGGCGGCAGGTGGGCGCGGAGCGGGTGGCGCCGATCCTCCGCGCTGATGATCGGTGCCGTTCGCAGGAGTTCTGGCTGCGCACAAGATCACAGCGAGCTCCCCGGACACCGACCTGCCCACTGTGAGCGGGCTGCGGGTGAGTGCGGACGGGTGACGAAGTCCCGGTTGCGGGGCCGCCCCGCGGGCCGCCCCGGACCTCAGCGGTCCCGTTTCTCTCCAACCGGTGCAGAAAATGGGCGTGAACTTCACGGTGAGCAACAAGGACACGGTGAAGAGCAGCGATGTCCTCTTCCTGGCCGTGAAGCCGCCCATTATCCCCTTCATCCTGGAGGAGGTGGGCCCCGACATCGAGGCCCGGCATATCGTGGTCTCCTGCGCAGCCGGCGTCACCATCAGCTCCATCGAGAAGGTGAGGGGGGGCCGGGCCGTGCGAGGCCGTCCTTGAGCTGGCCCCACTTCTCTAGCCTCCAGGAACCGATGCAAGGGACAGGCATTACCTGTGCTCAGGACTAAAGTCACGCAGCAGGAGCCAACTGGTTGCTTTTGGTCACCTTTGCCTGTCCTCATTAGAAAACGCTATTAGAGGTTTTGTCCAACTCTTCCTGCACGTGAGGTGCTGTCTGGTCATGTTTCTCTCAACAGCAGTGGTCATTACCCCTGAATTTCTGCCGACTTTATGCTAAGTGTCTGGAGGAGCTGTTTTGGAGACCTGTGGGTTGATGTGGGAATGAGGCCTTCGGGATACTGTTCCCAACGTGGCTCTGCCCAGCTCCCTCTTCGCTGGTACTTCCGAAGGCTTCACGTTCACATATGGGCTGCTGTGGCTCAAAGCACGGTCTTTAGGATACCCAAGTCTCTCTTTTCCCTTTGCTTGTGTTGTTCTCGCCCGTGGGGGGTTCTTTCTAGGACAACCTGTTGATGCTAAATAGGCACTAAAGCTAATTTTTTTCCCCTTCTTTCTTTTTTTCTTACTTTCTATATGCAATTATTTTCTGCCTTAAGAAACTATGTACCTTCTGCCCCACACCAAAAGTGATCAGGTGCATGACCAACACCCCTGTGATTGTCCGGGAAGGTGCTACAGTCTATGCTACTGGAACTCATGCAGATGTGGAGGATGGGAAGCTCTTGGAACAACTGATGGCCAGTGTGGGTTTCTGCACCGAGGTGGAAGAGGACCTGATCGATGCTGTAACAGGGCTCAGTGGCAGTGGCCCTGCGTATGTATGTGCTGTTTACTCAACTTGTGACAGTCTCGGGCAGAGCAGTTGGCTTTGCCCACTGTAAAGCCTGTGAAAATTCAGCTTCTTATTTCTTGGTTTTCTTATCACTCACATTTGCAATGGGACATGTAGTCTGGGTATCCAGTTTACAACCATTTTGGGTCAACTAGAAAGGTCTGTTACCAGTCAGATGAGTCTGAAGTCCATAGCCACTGGGCAGTGTCCGTGTTGCAAAACATCGGCCTGTAGTTAGCATGATGCAGAAGCTGAACTTCTCCCATTCCCCCCCAGTGGGAGGGAAGGCTGACATGGCACCCATGCAGTAAAGGGGGAGGCTTTTGTCAGGTCTGTAAGTGGTAGGAGTCATAATATGATCCTGGAGCTCTGGATTCTCTCCTGCCTGAGACTATGAGTCCCAGAGCAGAGGATTTCAGTCATCTTCTTCCTCTGTCTGGTCTTAGGCATTCACTGCCCTGGATGCTCTTGCAGATGGGGGAGTGAAGATGGGCCTTCCCCGCAGGCTGGCTGTTCGACTCGGAGCACAGGCTTTGCTGGTCAGTATTTCCTCCAGAACAAATATGAGTCTGTGCTTGCTCTGTGCAGAGGATTCTGCATGTCACAGTTTGAAATTATCTCAGTCCCCTCACTGAATCTGCGTTAAAGAACGTGTTTGGTTTGACTGCACACAGGTTCCTGGTGAGGGACCATAGGAAGTGTCCGCAGCAATCTGCTGGCACTGGTGGTGATGTGGGAGCTGGGGCCTGGGAAACTGCAGCTCCTCTGCAGGCTTCTTCAGCTCTGAAAAGTGTTTTGGCAGCCTGCAGGAGCCAAATTTTGCCTATGTGAATGTTGGTGCTGCTCTGTGCAGTGGAAAATAGGAGCGTGTGACAGTGGCTTCCTCAGTCAGAGCTCTGCCAGGTGTTTTCCTTGCTACAGGGTGCTGCCAAAATGCTGTTAGAGTCTGAGCAGCATCCTGGTCAGCTGAAAGACAATGTCTGCTCACCTGGGGGAGCCACTATCCATGCCCTGCACTTCCTGGAGAGTGGTGGCTTTCGCTCACTCCTCATCAATGCTGTGGAGGCTTCCTGCATCCGGACAAGGTGGGCACCTAGGAAGTCCCAAACAGCCTTAAAAACTTGCCCCCCACCCTCCCCACGTTCCTTTTACTGTCTTCTTCTCCCACCACCCCATTGCAGAGAGCTTCAGCATTTGGCAGACCAAGAGAAGATCTCCCCGGCAGCCATAAAGAAAACTTTGCTGGACAAGGTGAAGCTGGAATCTCCTTCTCTGTCTGTGGCATCTGCTAGCAAAGTCAGTCTATTTACGAACAAGAGCAAGAAGAACTGACCAGGCTGCTGTAGTCTGGCAGTGCTGAACATCAAGGTGCTGGCTCTGGCCAGGGCAGGGTTAATTTTTGCGGTAGCCAGGAGGGGCACGGCCAGGACCCGAAGGTTCTATACCACCTCAATACATTGTGCAGGGGTGGGGGGAGGGACAGAAAGGTCCCTTTTGGTGGTAGCCTGAAGCGAGCGGTAATTTCACATGGTAAAAAATCATGTGTGGATCGTTCGCTTCTCCTGTACACTCTATTAAATGTTGTTGCTGTTGCTGTTTGTTTCTTATCTCACTGCTGTTTCTAGTAAATTTTTCTTATCTCAACCCATGATCTTTACGTTTTGTGCCGCCAATTCTCTTCAGCATACTGCAGCGGGTGGAGGGAGGAGTAAGTAGTGTGTGGTTTGGAGTGCTTAAGCGGAACACTAAATTGGGGAGTAGCATTACTAAACAGTAACAGTCAGTCTCCTCCATGCTATTTCTCTTTTGTCTTAGAAAAAATGCTTACTCTGAATGTTGCTGTCCCCAGTACCAGACTTGTGGCTCGCAGCAGCTGTGGGGCAGCGCTGTAGCAGAGGGTCTTTAGCCTATAGTGGGGTTGGTGCAGACTGTCTATGGCATTGCTGTTCTCTTGGGCAGGGGTGATACTCTGATCAGAGCTTTGTCGTTTGTCCAGAAGCCTCCCGGGACTCAGTGTTCGTGGTGTCCAATGCAGAAATGGTTTCTAACAGGATTTTTAAAGATGTTTCAGAACTTTTGGTTTCGAAGGTTTGAAGGGATCCACCCTCTTTCCCCGTCCCGCACCTGCTGTCAGAGCTTGTGTCTTGTCTCCGTCGTTATTGGCTGCAGCAGCCGCTGCCCCACAAACCGCGCCCTATGGGTGCCTCGGGGGCTCGGCCCCACTCGCCCCTCGGGCGGGGCGGGGCGTGGCCAGGCGGGGCGTGGCGGGGCGGGGCCAGGCGGGGCGGGGCCAGGCGTGGCCAGGCGCACCTCCCCCCGCCCCCCCGGGCGCGCGGCCCCCTTAAGGCCCGGGGCGGTTGCGCCGGGCGCTTCATGAATGGAGCCACGTGACCCAAATATCACGTGACGCGTCCGTGAGCGGCGGCGGCGGCGGCTCGCGCGTCCCGGTCCCTCCCAGCGCGGCCTCCCCGCCCCGCCCGGCCCGGCCCGGCCCGGCGGCCCCGGCAGGAGGTGAGCGCCACCGGCGGCGGGCGCGGCCCTGGGGCGGGGCGGGGCGGCGGGCCGGTCCCGGGGCGGGCCGGGGCGGGGCGGGCGCGGCGGGCCCAGGATGGCGGGCGTGGCGGGCGCGGCGGGCCCAGGAAGGCGGCCGGGGCCGCCGCGTGTCGGCAGGTACCTCGCGGGGCCGCTACCGCTGACTCACGGCGGGGTTTCGGGGCCGCGCCCGCCTGGCGCCTCCCGCCCCCAATCCCCCCGCCCGGGCCCCGCTCCGCGGCCGAGCAACAGGTGCGCGGGGCCGCTGGCCCAGGGCCTGTCCCCTGCCCCACCCGCCCGCTCCCGGGGCCACCCGCGGACATCCCTGGCGCGTCCCACCCCTCCTGCTGCCGGCCCCGGTCATCTTGCGGACCGGCTCTCCTCAGGCTGAACCTGTCCCTCCGGTGCGGGTGCGACCTGGTCCCCGGGCGCCCTCTCCCCGAGCCGCACCCGCCGCGGCTGCTCTCCGTGGTCGGTGATTCTCCTGCCAGGGAGGGCAGGTCCGGGAATGTGAGGAACCACCGAGTCGTCTCGTCCCGTTCCCGGAGCAGGGGCTGGGCCACAGGCAGAACAGTCCCCATCCCTGCGTTTGGCTGGTAGGTTCTGGCTCCTGTTCCGTGGAGGCTGCCCGGTGCTGCAGCGTTCCCGGAGGGAAGCGGGTTTCCTCTCCCGTGGGAAGCAAGCCGCTCCTGTGGGACTGCAATTCCTTATCGACACGGAGGGTCCCGTGGTGTGTGTGCATGGGTCCAGAGCTGGGGACATCTCTGGTGGCCCGGGATACCTGAAGTTCGGGCTACTTGATCGATGAGGGTACTGTCATGGGCTGGAAGGGGTCTCTCAGAGCTGGCTTTCCTTTACTTGTGTGAGCAGAGTTAAAGTCAGCTGCATGGGCAGGTCCCTTGAGGGAAGAATTGTTGTTAAAGTGCCCAGGGTTGGATAAGATTGCCAGGGGCCCCCAGTGAGTGGGGGACACGGGAGAGGCACTGTCCTGACTTCATAGGTGATTGGGGGAGTCATCGAAGGAGACTATGTGAGCTAATTTGCCAGAAAGTCAATAAGCGGAGTATGAGATCTACCCTGCGAGAGAGCATTGCCGTGTGCTGTGCCTGCCTGGTGCCGTAGAGCCCATGGAGGCACAGCCCTCGCTCAGCCCACGGGCCTCCTGCCTGTGCTGGAGCGGTGACGTCGCCGTGTTTACAGGGGCTCGTGGCAGGTTCCGCATCAGGAATGTGGAGAAGGCTCTGCGTTGAACCGTGCGTGGTGCTGTCAGCTCCCGTGTGCAGCCGCTGATCTGAGGGGAGAATTGGCTGCACTTGTGCTGAGTTCAGGCTTTTTGAGCTTGGGAGAAATGTGTCGAGACTGCAGTTTCTTCATTGCAGTCATAGTGTTTGGCACTTTTCAGCGTGATTTTTCTTCAGGAAGCTATGCTGAACCATCAGCAGTCTGGAGAGTTATGCCAAGTTTGGTCCCTGCTGTGGTGCCAGTTCTCTCTGTGACCTGCCAAACAGCCCAGTTCAAATGGGACCTGGGAAATAGCCAACAACTCTCTGGATTGTTCTTCCTATTCTTCTGATTGTCTCATATGTTGCTGCATCCCATTTTGCTCCCCTTGGGAAGTGGGATAAGGAGAAGTGAGGTCACTGGGTGCTTTTGGGGACAGTCCTATTGGAGCTCTGATGGCTGTTGTGGGAAGCTCCTGCCCGAGAGGGTCTTGCATTAAGAGTGCAGAGGCAGGAATGAGTCGCTGCCTCTGCTGTGTCCGGCTCTGCCATTTCCCAGCTTGCTAAGGAGCTCTCTTCCCAGTGCCCTGCCTGATGCATCATACGTGTGCCCTGTTTATTTTGGGTCTGCTGTAACGAAGGCAGGGTGACTGCTTGCCAGGCAGCTGGAAATTCCTTAGTGCCACAAGGCAAACAAATTCCCATGGTCCTGCTGACCGCACCTGCCCTCAGCTCCTGCTGATCAGAGGATGGTCTCCCCAGCTATTCCCTTCCTTCTCCCCTTTTCCCAGCAGCTGTATTGTTTACCAGGTAGGAACAGAGGAAAGAAACACAGCAATCTGAGAAAGAGGGAAGAATTGATTTCTATGTTGCTTGTATGCTGCCCATCCTGCCTCTTTGCAGCTGGCTTCCCTGGGTGGCAAAGTGACCCTGCCTGTGCTGGTGTGGTCGGGTGCAGCGGATATCTCATGGAAGGAGCATTGTCCTCTGGCTATAAATAGCCTGGCTCCTAGCAGGCCACAGGCTTTGGGAATAACTCTGCTGGTGTCCTGGGGACTTCTGGCCCTGCTCGCCTCCCATAGGTAGAAGATGCACTGTGGGGTGCCTGTGCCACTGCTGCTGGAAGAGCACAAAGTCTTATTTGCTGATTTGTACATCTGGTTCTGGGCTGTAACTGGACATCAGCGCTGCTGACAGCAAGGCAGGGGCAAACCATTGTTTTTTGACACCTGAGAGATGAAAGGAACAGAGGCATCTGTAGGCTGCACAGGAACACTGGCCAGGCCTAAGGGTGTGAGGGGTGCAGTCTGGGCTGCTGAAGGCACAGCCATGTCTGTCAAATAGTATCTGTATGGATCAGTTCCTTGGTAGAGTGTAGTAGCACTCTGAACTAAAAAGCCTAAGGGGAGGAGGTATGTGGGGAAGAAGCAGGAGCCCGGGTATAAGTCTGTGTAAAATCAGCCTTGGGAATTGCTCTTACCTGTTCTGGAGTCCTGTATTCCGTAGCAGGGAAGGAGTCTACTTTCATCTGTTTTTGTCACCTTTATCTTTGTTTTCTTGTGAGCACACCTTGGCTCTGAAGATAAGGAGGGAGAAGGTTGTTCTGGGCCCTGGCACTGCTAGGGACCAACAGGGACTTTCTCACAGAAAAGACTAACAGCTAGAGACAGCTTTGAATGACTGGGAGAGGTGAAGGCTGCTGAGGCATCGGCCCAAATTTATGATGGGACTCTAGCGTGTCCAAGGCTTCCCCCTGCCCAGGGCCAAGTCTTTTTGAACCATACTGATTGCATTCTGGGTGACAGCTGGAGTCTGGTAGGACTGAGGAACTTCTGAGCTGTGGTTAAGAACCTGTTGGAAGGGCGTGCTTGGGTGACAAGGATGAGGCTGGGAGCAAGTGGTGCGGAGTGCCAACCTGCTGAGTCAGCGTGACTGGCCTGGAGCAGCCGTGCTCTGGACCCTGCCTGCTGCCTGCCAGGCTATTTTTAAAAACGTAGCTTCCGTGTATTCTGACTCCTCCTAGTTTTTTAATTTCCCCCACCACAAGCGGAAAAACTATCATTGCCACAAAGTCTCTGTGGGAGCAGGGGTGTGGAAGGGCAGCAGTTTCTGCTCAGGAACAGAGTCTGCTGCTCGTGAGTCCAACTCAGCTGGCTTCTTGTCAAGTGTCGTGCGGGGAGGGGGAAGCAGGATGTGCAGCAGCGTGGGCCATTGCTGATGGACCCTGCCAGAGGAATGCCGTGGGCTCTGTTGTGTCCCGGGGGCTAACCTGACCTTCCTTCCCTTCCAGAACCCGACTGTCAAGGCTGTCGTGTTATGACGACCCCCAATAAAGGAAACAAGGCCTTGAAGGTAATACAGCGGGTGGAGGAAAGGGGTGTGCGGGCAGGTGTAGGCATCTGCCCCAAGTGTCACAAGTGTGTGCTGCTTTCTCTCCCAGGTGAAGCGGGAGCCAGGCGAGAATGGGACCAGCTTGACAGATGAGGAGCTGGTGACCATGTCCGTGAGGGAGCTGAACCAGCATCTACGGGGCCTGTCAAAGGAGGAGATCATCCAGCTGAAGCAGCGTCGGCGCACGCTGAAGAACCGGGGCTACGCAGCCAGCTGCAGAGTCAAGCGTGTTACCCAGAAGGAGGAACTGGAGAAGCAGAAGGCAGAGCTGCAGCAAGAAGTGGAGAAGCTGGCCTCTGAGAACGCTAGCATGAAAATGGAACTCGATGCTCTCCGCTCCAAATACGAGGCTCTCCAGAACTTCGCCAGAACCGTGGCCCGGAGCCCCGTGACCCCTGCGCGGGGGCCTCTCACCTCCAGTATGGGGCCCCTCGTCCCTGGCAAGGTTGCTACTACTAGTGTCATCACAATAGTGAAATCCAAAACGGACGCCCGGTCTTAGTGAAACGAGTGCTGCCTGAGCTTGTCTGTGCAGGGCAATTAGGCACAAAACCAGCCTGGAATCCCCAAAGCACAAACCCTCTCCACATGGGTCCGGGTTCCTTCGACTTGGCCCAGGACTGGCCCGCTGATAGCTCCAGTTTATTTTGTTGTGTCCAGATTGGTATGAGCAGTGGTGATGCGTCCCTTGTCCTGTGCAGACAGAGCCTTCACCCAGCCGTCTGTAGCCCTCGGGTGCCCTGGGGACAGACTCTGCGAATTTGGTTTTCTACCCAAAGAAAGTCTGTGCAGCATGGCTAAAGGAAGGGCGGGGAGCAGCCCAAGGGAGGCTTTCTTCCTGGGGGCCAGGAACCCTAATTTTGGTCACTTCCAAAGGCTTTATTTCATGACTATTCTGGGTGGTGCATCTCGGCACATGAACCTGCTGCTTTTGTCTCCTTTGGTACCCGTAGTTGCAGTCGGGGTGTTCTGTGTCATAGGTTTTTAGTCCTTTCTAGGTGTGCCTCTGTGCCCTAACCGTGGGTTTCCCTCAGATGTCTGTGGCGTTAGCTGTGTAAACTGGCAGTGGTGGGAAGGATGACACTGCCGTGCTCTGCAGCTGCAGCCCCAGCGCCGGGCCCGAGCAGGGCCCAGCACCCTGGGGAGGGAGGGACGGTACCGTGTGGACTGCAGGCCGGTTTTGTGCCTAATGTGTTGCACTGAACAAGACCAAAATCACTAGTTGTTCCCGTGTTTTGAGGGTATCAAGTGTCTCTAGTGTGATGGTTTACACAACCAGTTTATGTGGTTAAATAGCCCTTTATTTAAAGAGAGAAACATCATTTTAAGAGTTATTAAATTATCTAAGTTTAAAATTGGACAGAAGAAAGAGCATATTTATAGTCAGCTTTTTTTACCTGAGAAGGAGAGAATATTTGACCATATGAATGGGGAAATATTCTCGGAGACTTTGCTAGTTAAAAGTTAATAAATAAATAATTTTAAAGTTTCTCATGAACCTCCCGCAAACTGTTTGTGGCTCTGAGGTTAGTTTTTATAAAGAGTTCTCAGACTTTATTTATAAAACTTAGAAAAAGACAAAAAAAGAGGCAAGTCCTGTTTGATATCTTTTTGCAATTGTACCAAAAGTGACTTATTCTTGACCTTGCTGGCTTCTGTCATGTCCCCTCATGTTGGGTGCTCTGCTTCCTGAGCTCTCTGCAGCACTGTGCTGGTGCCGGTGCCTTTGCCGTGTGCTGTCGTTTCACACTGTTTTCCTTAAACTCGACTGAGAGATTGAGTTGGAATCTCTCCGAATTCTGCAGAAGGATTCTGGTGCACAGGCAAAGGTGCTGCTGGTTTTGAAAGCAAGACTGGCTGGCTGGTGCAGCGATGCCTTCCCAGAGGTGTGCAGTGGGAGCATGGGCAGCTCCTGCTGAGCAGCCGACACCAGGTAACTTGGTTACCTGGATAGGGAAACGCTGCACTTTTCTTCCTGTAGCAAAGCTGGCAGAGGAGTAACGTGGGGGAGATTTGTCCAGGTTTAGAAGACTGATGAGATCTATCTCTGGAATTAGATCCTGTGGTCAGAACTTTTGTTGCTCTGGTGGCTCCCCTGAACAAGAGAGGCAGGTCTTCCCACTGGGCAGCACGGGACTGGCTGGTCCCTGGTGTCTGTGCATTGCTGGCCAGTGAGCTGTGGCAGGATCACTGTCCTTCTGGGGCAGCTTCTGCCTGGGGGTTGGGAGAGTGCTCAGACTCACAGCTGTGACATGGCTGAGAAGCTGTTTGTGGCAAGGCTCCATTTCCACAAATACTTTGACCCCCTTTTCCCCTTCCCAAAGATTTGGGCTGATGTACTGAGTTTTAGAGAAACAGGACATGAGGGTGAAGCCCATGTGATCTCCTGGCTGCTGAGGGTCATCTGAGGGGAGGGGACAGACTGAGATGGCACAAGTGAAGCTGCAGTCTTGCGGGGAGGCACAGCCATACCAGGTGGGTTTTGGGGATGTTTCTCATGTTGCTGAACTGATACTGCTGTCCCCTGGGCCGAGGAGCAGGTCAGCCTGAGAAAAGCTGCAGTGTGGCAAGAGAGGAGCAGGTAGTTGGCGGGGATTTCCTGCTGGAGGAGGAGATCAGCTTTGCTCTGAATGAGTGGGAGTTCAGGGAGTTGTTTGGGATTCTTTCCCAGTGAACTTCCCAAATGGGGAGCAGGTTAGAACATTGCCTCCAGACTTCCCCCTTCCAGCCCTGGACTTTCTTTTCTCTGAGCTGAAGTATCTGACATGCCACTTCCAGCTGCACCACAGGGGCCATGCGTTGTGCAGCACTCAGCACGGAGCTTTGGGCTCTGGCCTATGTCTTCCCGCTGGTGGTGCAGTGCCTGGAAGAAGTGAGATTTTCCAAAACACCATTTTGGAAAAAAATAGTCCTGGGTTGTCAGTCCCAACCCTCTCCCTCCTGGACCCGGTCCGGGACTGAATCGGCCAGAGCGCACTTCAGAACCTCAGCTGAGGCCAGCTGAGCTGGCTGGGCTGAGTGAGCAGCCAAGGTGTGTGAGGCTGGTTCAGAGCTGAGCTCCACAGCTGGAGCCTCTGGTGTGAGGAGGGCCCCATCAACACAGCAGGCAATGATGGGCAGCCCTGAGCCATGGAGGGCTTGCTCTCTTTGTGCTCTGCGGCAGGGAGCGGATCCGGTCCTTCCCTGTGGTGCTGCTCTGCTCTGAGGCAGGGCAGGACAGGGCTGGCAGCAGCGCTGACTGCATCAGATGTTAATGCCATTGTTCCTCCTCCCCTGCACTGTCCTTGCTTGCTTGGAGCCCCAGCCTGCTCCAAGTGGGCCCGTGTGTTCGATGAGGACTCGCCACGTGGGGAGGAGCTGGTGAAGGCCATGGCTGAAGGGTCTGGGTGTGGTAAACAAGCTCTGTGGTGCTGGGCTGGATGTCAGCGAGGCCATGGTCCCCTCTTGAGTGCTGCTTCCCTATGGTTTTGCTTTTGATCTCAGTGAAGTGTAGGACCCTGAGTGCTGTATTTCTGCAGTGTCAAAGAAGTCTCCAGTCCCCTGCCAGCTGGCTTTCTGTGCCCGTGGGAGGCGGCCCTTGCCCAAGCCGTCATGCTGACTTCTCTCGTATATAGTGTTCTGGAGTGTGACAATTCTTGTTCCTGAGGTGCTAGTCCGTTTGGTTTCCTGCTGTGAAGGCTGTCGTGTTTTCTTTCTTTTCCTGGTGCTGTTCCGGGGGGTTGGGGAAGGGTCCTGATCCTGCCCCAGCCGGCCCAGGGAGCGCCCCAGGCACCCCCGGGATTTGTGTATCTTGTGAATTGTGTACAGTCGCTCCCGGCCGGGGCTGGCGGACGGCGGGTTCAACCCGGAGGGCCCCGGGCTCGGTGCAGGCGGTATTTATTGCTAAGTTATTGGCGTTATTTATTCTGTACAGTGTCCGCCGCCTTTGTACGCGACAATAAACCGCTTCAACAGCCGCGCCTGCGCGTCCTTTGGGGGCCGCCCGGCGCCAGGGGGCGCTGCGGCGCGCGGGGGCGGTGAAGGAGGCGGCGCGGGGCGCTCTGGCCGGAAGGCGGAAGCGGCGGAGCCGAGCCCGGTAGCGGCAGAGGCGGCGGCTCCGGGGCGATGGCGGCAGGCGGCAGCCTGAGCCGCTCCGAGCGGAAAGCGGCGGCGCGCGCCGAGATCCTGCAGCAGGAGGAGCAGCGGGACCGGCGGAGACAGGTATAGTGCGGCCCGGCGCGGCCCGGCGCGGGCCGCCGGCGCGGGCCGCCGTGAACCACCTGTGTGTACCGGGCAGGTGTCCCGCATCTGGAGGAAGCCGCCGGCGGAGCGGAGCCCCGAGGAGTGCCAAGTGCTGAGCGAGAGCGAGGATATCGTCCGGGAGCTGGAGCGGCGCCGCAAGCGGCGCGAGCGGCTGCGGCGGCGGCAGGAGGAGGTGGGCGGCGGGCCCGAGGGCCCGGGGTGGCGGTGGCGGGGAGCGGCCCCGGCCGCGGAGAGGAGCCCTGCGCTCTGGGCGGGGCGGCAGCCGCCGGGCTGGCCATTGCGAGGGAGCTCTGCAGCCGCAGCGGGCCTCGGTGAACAACTGCCGTGCCCCAGTACCGGGAACGCGGCTGCCCTCCCGGGGCTGCCCTGCGTTTGTCTCCGGTCATCCGTGCTCCAGCGGCTGCCAAGAGTGTGGCTGTGTGGGCGCGTCCCCCGGAGGGTGGATCAGCAGGTCCTGCTCTCCAGGAAGCTTTTTCCCATGATCCTCCATGAAAAACACCCATGTCCTTTTCATTTGGAAATCACTGCTGATCACGTTTTGTTGCTTTTCCCGGGCCAAGCCCACCTTCAAACGTCCAGGGATATCCCTGTTCCCTCTGCTTCAGTAGTGCAGTGTATCTCCGAACCATGGGGACTTGCTCAGGTATGTTTTTTCAGGTGTGTGACGAACCTGAGGAGCTGAGGAGAAAGGCAGCTGAGCTGGCGGCAGCTGTGCGGAGCGCCAGGCACCTCGTCATCTACACAGGTGCCGGGATCAGCACGGTGGGTTTTGGGGGGAGCGGCCGGAGCCCCTTTGGGCCGCAGTGTTGTCTGGACTGTTCTGTGGTTCCTGAATGGTCACTGAGCAGATGTCTGTGACGAGCCAGGGATGCTGCGTGAGTCTGGGGCCAGCACAGTGCCCAGGCTGCATCCTGGGTCATTCCTGCTGTCCAGGAGATCCTACTGTGTGCAGTACATGTGGCCTGAGCAAGAGGACACTGGTCATGCCTCACTCAAGTCCCTTCAGTGACTTTTGGTATAAAACCTCCAGCCAGTTAGCTCAGGAACATTGTGTGTTATCAGACATGCAGGGACAGCTGGGGGGTTATCGGAACTTAAAAACAGCAGTTTGAGAATCGTTTGGTTTCAGTGGCCCAGGGGAAAGCAGAAGTTTGGTTCTGCCTCTTCTAATGTCACATCTGTCACCTTTGTGTGAGCTGTGAAACTCCAGACGTGCAAATGAGAATTGTAAGGTAGAAGAGAGAGAGAAAACACATGAAAAGGTTTTCTTGTGATTAGGGAACCACTCTGCTGGAATGAATGAAAAAGCAGCCATAGATGAGGTGTCTGTGGTTGTCCTGGGTGGGCCCAGGTTGGTTGTGTTTGTGTACAAGAGCTGTGACCCCCTCCATCAGGCCTTGTGTTCTCTCCTGGTGACAGGCAGCTTCGATCCCAGACTACAGAGGCCCCAATGGCATTTGGACACTGCTGCAGAAGGGCAGGAGCATCAGGTGAGGAGCCAAATTCTGAGCTGTGTGGCAGAAAACTGAGACTGGAAGAGGTTAATGGCAATTCCAACTTTTTGTTTTTATTTTTTCCCCTTGCTTCTTGTCAGGGCTGCAGACCTGAGCGAGGCAGAGCCCACGCTCACCCATATGAGCATTGCTTGCCTGCACAAGCACAACCTGGTAAGATATTTTTTCCTCACCTCCTTCATGTTCCTCTGCCTAGGAATGATAAAGCAGGGAAGAAAAATCTATTCAGGAGATTGCCTGACTATGGTTTGACTCAAGTGTAGTGTACACATCCATATAGGAAAATGTCTGAGTCTTCCTTAGCGAGCTCCAGGCTGCAGCTCTGGCAGTTTTTTCCCCGGTGCCTTTTCTTTAACGTTTTATTTGTACCTGGTGAGGCTGGTCTGGCCACAAACCAGCCAGCCCTAGAAAAGCTCTGTTTAGCAGGAGGAGGCTTTCCACTTAGGTTTCACAAAGGTCTGTTCTCCACTCTCTTATCCTGTGGGTCCCGCTCTGATGTACAGGCTGTTGGTGTGATTTGGGACAGCACATCACCCCGCAGACACCTGCAGGGTCTGTGTGAGCTCAGCATTTTGTTCCTTTCAAGGTGCAGCATGTGGTGTCTCAGAATTGTGACGGGCTGCACCTGCGGAGCGGGTTACCCCGAGCTGCAATATCTGAGCTTCACGGGAACATGTACATAGAGGTGAGTGGCCAGAGCAGGACGAAGTCACTGTTCAGTGGCCTAACAAGAAGAGGATGTAAACTCTTGATCCGTCACTAGCTCAAGAGGAATTAGTACAAGGGCTTAGCTTCTGCACAGTTCCCATCTTCAGGCCATCAGGTTTGGAGTGAACTAGTTAGTTAGCAAGCACCAAACCCATCTCTGTAGCTCTTTCTCTGTACTCACTGGAGCCTTCTGTTTCTGACTCCTCTTCCTCAACCTTTCTCAGCATGTAGCCAAAGGCAGCCTGCGGCTCCACGTGCTAGCTGAGGTTTTCCAAGTTGGCATCTGATCCCTGATGATCCCATCTACAGCTTCCAGCATGCTGTCCCCAAAAGTGCTTTTCTTTCGAGAGAAGTGGCTGGCTCCTGGCCTCTCGTTAGAGGGATGCTGATGATGTGATGGGTTTTCTGCTTTCATCCTGCACCAGGTCTGCACTTCCTGTACACCCAACAGAGAATACGTGCGAGTGTTCGATGTGACGGAGCGCACAGCCCTGCACAGACATCACACGGGCAGGATGTGCCACAAGTGTGGGGCACAGTTGAGAGATACAATCGTCCACTTTGGGGAGAAGGGGACATTGAGACAGCCCCTGAACTGGGAAGCAGCAACAGAAGCTGCAAGCAAAGCAGATGTGATTCTTTGTCTGGGTTCCAGCTTAAAGGTAACTTTAGAGACTCGGTGAAGATTGTTAGCAGCATTCCCTCTTGGTGACACACCTTGGTGCTGAGCGGTTTCCTCCCAAACAGACAACTGTAAACTCTGGTGTCAGGATTCGCCCACCATCTGTGATAGTCTCTCTTCCTCCCTCTTTCCCCTCCTGGTAATACATTCCTTTTCCTCTCGCTGATACGGTTCACAGTTGCGTGTGCCTGTGGCTGTGCTGATCTTCTCTGCTTTATGGCAGGTTTTGAAAAAATACCCCCGTCTGTGGTGCATGAGCAAGCCCCCACCACGTCGGCCCAAGCTATATATTGTGAACCTGCAGGTGAGAGAGAGCCCTTGGCACTGGCCATGAGCTGTGTGAGGCCGAGCCCCTGCCTGGCCCCGGGCAGAAGCCCCCACTGCTGCCCCGGGGAGCTGCCTGCAGCCGTCTCTACTATGGTCCACAGTGGACCCCGAAGGACGACCTGGCTGCCCTGAAGCTGCACGGCCGCTGTGACGATGTGATGCGGCTGCTGATGGCAGAGCTCGGGCTGGAGATCCCGCGCTACGACCGGTGAGCGGCCCGGGCCCTGCGCGGCGGGAGCGCCTGCCGGGGCCGCCGGCAGCGCCCACCGCCGCCCTCTCTCTCCCTCCGCAGGGCACGGGACCCCATCTTCGCGCTGGCAGAGCCGCTGCGCCCCGGGGAGGAAGGCACGCACTCGCGGAAGCCGGTGGCGCCGCCGCGGGAGGAGGCGCGGGAGGAGCCCCGCGAGCAGCCCCGGGAGCGGGAGGAGGCGGCGGGCGGGCGCACCGGGGGGTGGCTCGGCCGCGGCTGCGCCAAGGGCGCCCGGCGCAGGAAGAGCCGCTGAGCGCGGGGCGGGGCGAGGCGGGGCCGCCGGTGACGGGGCCGCCGGTGACAGCGCGGCCATGCTGCGCAACGGGGCGGCGGGCGGCGGCGGGGCCGCGGCGGGCGGCGGCAGCCACCGGCCCGTGCGCGTCTGGTGCGACGGATGGTGAGTGGGGCGGGCGCGGGCCCGGCGCTGTCGCGGAGCCGCAGAAATAAACCGTGTTGGCTGCACTGGTGCCTCCGGCTCCTCTGTCACCGCGGCGGGACGGGAACGGAGCCGAGCCCGCGAGAGAGCGGCGCCCTCCCCGCCGAGCTGCCCTGAAGCGCCGGGCGAGCGGCAGCCGCCGGGAGCGCCCTCGGGCTCTGGCGCCGCACGGGCCTCGTTGGGCCGGGCCGGTTGCCCCGGGTCGCAGCCGGTACCTGCCGGGCAGGTCACTGCGGCGGGAGGGAGCGCTGCCGCGGCCCCCGTGACCGGGCGGTATCGGCGCAGCCCAACCCGACAGCAGAGAGACCTTCAGCCCCGGGGCAGGTTGCCCGCGGGCCCCAGCGATGTGCTCCCGGTGTGCCCGGGCTGACCCGGCCCTTTTCGTTCCAGCTATGACATGGTGCACTATGGCCACTCGAACCAGCTGCGCCAGGCACGGGCCATGGGCGATTACTTGATCGTTGGGGTCCATACAGATGGTAAGAGGTTTTGCCAGGTTTCACCCTGTGAAGCCCCTCAAATCACCCAGCAGCGTTAGCCCTGAGAGAACTGAGAGCTGATGTGGTCAAGTTTCTTCCTACATCTGTTCCAGGAGCAGCAGTGTCCAGTAGAAAAATGTCCCTTCCCTGGGTGAGGGAGTAGAGTAACCCCTCTCATGCTTTCAGAGTGAGGGTTAGGTAGGTCGGAGCTTGCAGGTTCTGAGGGGTCATCTGCGTTCCATGCTGTAAAAACAATTAAACCAGTTGAAAATCAGTCTGGTTTGGCTGGTATTAGCTGCAAAATTGATGTTCCAAAAGAAGCTGCTGTGTGGAGAAAACTCATTTCAAGCCCATCTGGAATTTAAGTGACAGGAACAAATTCTTGCACGTGAAGATGTATTTTAAATGGGTTTATGGATGCAGAATTTCTAACATGAACTAAGCATTGTATGAAACTACTATTTAAGAGGGGAAATTCCCCTGGAGGGATGCCAGGATGCCCAGCTCATCCACCCAAGAGGAAGTATGTGGGTACTGCAAAGCACTAAGACTTTTGCCCTCCAAGTAAATTCCAGGGCCCTTGTTACACGTTTAGGAAATGCAACTAAATCAAAGTCTTTTCTGATCTATCTGAGGTTTCCTTGTTACCAGAGACCAATCCCAAGCTGAGGATAAGCCTGCAGTGAAGTTCACTTGCCCATGGAATGAGTGAAGCTGCTGTGGCTGAGAGTCTCTGTAGCTGCAGCACATGCTTCTAACTGGATTTTAACTGGATTTTTTTTCTCCCCCAGAGGAGATTGCCAAGCACAAGGGCCCCCCCGTCTTTACGCAGGAGGAGAGGTACAAAATGGTGCAAGCCATCAAGTGGGTGGATGAGATTGCTCCCGGAGCTCCCTATGTCACCACGCTGGAAACCCTGGACAAGTACAGCTGTGACTTCTGTGTGCACGGGGGTGAGTGGTGTTCGAGGCAGTGGCTGTGCTGACGTGGGCCCTCAGGGTGCCTTGTTGCGAACCAAGTGACATCCCAGCCGGTACTGGGGTTTGGGGGTACCCGGAGTGTGCAAAGCTCTACCTTCCCAACACCTGCACTGGGCAGCACAGCTGCTCCTGGCCTGGTGATCTGGACAAACATGTTGGTGTGCTCAGATCTTGAGAGTGGCCAGAACCCTTGGTTTTAACCAGCCCTTTCACTTACCAAGGTGAAATATGTTGTTTGGCAATTATCTTGAGGTTGCCCTTAGCACCAGCAGAAATTTGTGCAAAGGGGAAAGCCATTTACAAAACTTAAATGTGGAAACACTTGAAAAGGTAAGCGTGCAGAAATACAGTGATGTTTATATCTACTTATCCTGGGATGAGATCAGATTTGAAAAGCTTCTCTCTTTATCTGGTTAACAAGCTGTTCAGGGGCTTAGCCAACTGTGTGGCCAGAGACCTAGTTCTTACTGTGAACACTTCTGGTGTACAGTTGCTGGAGACAACCAGAGTTCTGAGGAAACATTCTTGCTGTGGGACTCTGTCCCTTCCTGTGCTGCTGCTGACGCTCATTCAGCCTCAGCCCCTCCTTCTTGTCCCTCTGAAGGAATTTTGTTAGTTTGGCCAGGAGTAATCTTTGACTCATTTTGTATATCTCTCATCTGATCCCAGCCACCTGCTATCAATTAGCTAAGTGTTTCATTAAATGTAAATAAATCCTTAATCTTTACAAGATAGATATGCTTTTTCACGTGGGCAGGGTGGTTATAAAATTCATCATTAACTTCATTGTGTGCTCTGAACGTGTCTGCGGTACGTGACCCCTTCCAGGGCTTGGTGAGGGGTTGTGGCAGTAAAGGAGTGCTCATGGTCTCTACTCCAGCTGCCCTTATTCGTCCCCTCTGCCAAATCATTCCATGTTTCTCCCTGACCAATACCCTTGCTCCTGCAGTTTTGCCAGTTGTGTTTGTGCAAAAGCTGAGTTTGGAAACAGCTGAGCTTACCTGGGAAAGTGACAGCATCCCCACTGTTTGTGCTTCTCTCCTGGCACTCTGACCTGTGCTGGCAGTGCGTTCCCTCCTGTCTCTGTGCCCTGAGGGGAGGGTGTGGGGTTTTAGGGGAACTGAGCAGGACTGAGCCACCTGACTGTGTGGGAGCACTTGTGGGCTGCCAGTGCCTGCTCTGCCCTCCAGCTGTTTTGGCAAAGGGAAGCCAGCTTAGCTTTCACTTGTGAAGGTTTTGTACCATCACCAAAGTAGGTGAAAGGTGTTTCTGCAGAGGAAGTTAGGAGCCATATACCAGAGATGAAACAGAATTACCTCTGTGGAAGGGTCACAGAATGTCACTGGAAGTGCCATCATTGAGGGGCAGAATTTTCTGTTGGATGATTGTTTCATTGACTGAAAACTTGTAACATGAAGGCTAAAACTAGTCCTAGAGGAGCTGAAAGGCGCTTTTTAGCACCAAGGCGGATGGCGCCTGTTTATTGTCATTCAGACAAAAATCAACTGTGCCTGCTGCTGGAACAGTGCAAGGGCACCTGGCTCACATTTTCTGGACTCTCTAAAAAGCAGTGGGCCAGATGGGTAACGGCATTTAACATCCAGGAATATCCTTATCTCCACAGACACAGTAGTCTTACAAACCCCTGGCATTTCTGTGGGGCACAGGATGTGTCCCTAGTGTATACACAGGGATTTGGATTGCAGAGTTCTAGTCTGGCTCATATGTGGGACGTGCTCAGCTTCTGCTTTTGTGCAGGAGGGCTTGGGGCACAGTTCTGTGGCTTTTCTCTCTCTGTAGATGACATCACCTTAACTATTGATGGCAAGGACACCTATGAGGAAGTGAAGACGGCAGGGCGATACAGGTAACCTATTGCTGCTTCCCTTCTTATCCTGGTTTGGGCAGAGTTTCTGGGATTTCGTGGCTTGGAGGGAAGTCAGATGAAACACAGCTGTCTTCAGGTCACACCTGAACTTGGCTACATGTGTCAGAGCTTCAGTTGCTCTGAGCATTTTGGCTTCAGGGAAGTGGGGCAGACAGCCCTGCCAGAGGGGGCCGTCCAGTTCCTGGCAGATGCTGGTTCTGGTTTTGAAGCCTCACCAGGACTTGGCTCTGTTGGGAAGTCTGGCCAAGGGAAGTGTTCCTGACATGAGCAGCTGCCATGGCGTGAAGGGAATGCAGATGCTCAGCAAATGAATGCTATACTTGATACTAGGAGCAGGGAGAAAGAAGGCTTTCTCAGGACAGCCCCTGGTTTGGATTATCAAGTGTCATAAGTGTTCCTGTGGTAATGCTGGGAAGACAGAGGCATACACTATCCCGTGGCTTCTGCTTCATCCTTTGCTTGTCTCCTGCAGGGAATGCAAACGCACCCAAGGTGTGTCCACCACCGACCTCGTTGGCCGCATGCTGCTCATGACTAAAGCTCACCACAGCAACATAGTGAGTCAGAGGGCTTTGGATGGGAGGTGGAGTCCAGGGCATGTGCCAGCTCTTCCCTTTTGCTGACCCAAACAGCAGTAGAGCTCCTGGGCCTGGCTCCCAGGTGCATGGAGAATGGGCAAGCTGATTATGGGCAGTGGCAGCAAAACAACCTGCTTGTGTTTGCTTAAGCCTGTCTGAGATCACAGTGTGATCCCAGCACGTGCTGCTTTGGGAAGGTGTGGCAAGATAAAGACTGTGATGCCTCGTGATCGGTGTGGGCTTTGGGAACGTGAGGGGAACTGCAGGCTCGCCGATGGCCTCTCCCAGCGTGAAACAACACAGTGCAGCCACATTGATCTGTCAGCCTGGTGCTGCCAGAGTTGGAAACTCCTCTCCCTTCCCACTGAGCTTCATCCTTCTGCCTTCTGCTGTCTCTAGTCTGATCAGACCTTTCTTGAGTCTTGTCAGCTCACTCTCTAGTTGGGCCCAACCTAACCAGGGGAAAGTAAAGGAAGTGGTTTTATGTTGGTTAATGAGTCGATTTACTGAGTAATGAAGCAATCCATGAATGGAGTCACCTGGATAACTGCAGGGACAAGATGAGGGACCCACAAGAGAATTCAGGGGCAGAGGGAGATGTTTTGGCGTGCTGAGCTGTTAGATTGGCTTAGCTGTAACGTGAATTCGCACCGAGATCTATCGAGTGCTGCTGGCTGCTGCAGAGACCCAAGCCTGGCACTTGTGAGGGTCTTCGGCAGGAGGAGGGATGCTGTCCTGTCAGGGGCTCTCCTGGCTGAGGGAGGATGCAGGTGTGCAGCACTGTTGGGCTGAAGGCCAGGCAAGAACCACCTTTGCTGGTGGTACCAGGCTGAGATCATATAAGGACACATTTTCTCTGACTCATGCTGGGACACGACTCTGGTTTAGGTATTAACCAGTTTGTCAGCGAATTCAGTGCCACGAATCCATGGGGTACAGTTTGAGCCTGGCCTTCCCAGCGCTTCCCACACACAAGCATATCTTGGTTGGATGAGCTGTGTGAGTGCTTAAACATTTTGACTCTTTATCTCCCTTCAGGATGAGGACCTAGACTATCGGAAGCACACTGACAACTTTGGGAAGGTAATGTGAGTTTTGGTTGTGGACGTCTGGTTGTTGTCCTGCCTGAGAAGGATTTCCAATGTGCTTTCTGGCCTATTGCAGGCTTGTTTGTTCCTCCACATGAAGCAGTAATGTCTTGGTGAATGTCTGCTGCCCCCATAAGGCAGCACCTGCCGTGGGTGCGATGGGCAGGTGTGGCACAGGGCAGCACCTGAGCTGTCCTTCAGCAGGACCTGCTGAGCCTGTGCTGGGTTCTTTCCTTGCTTGTCAATTCCTTTCTGCCGCTTCTCCTGGGACCCATGTGCCCGAGGTTCCAGCCCAGGGACAGCCTCTGTGGATGCTTTTTCCAGTGGTCGTGTTGTTTTGGAGGTGTTGCCTTGGGTTGACCACGCTGTGCTGCAGAGCTCCAGGGTCCAGCTCTGGACTCACAGTGCCTCTAAAGAGCCATCAGCCCAGTTTGTTACCCTGGAGGCTGGATTGTCCCTGGTTAACGAGCTGCACCTGCAGCTTGCGGCAGTCTTTTTTACTCACAGGGTGTATGCTGGCCTGGCTGAATCATCCTTGGTTCCCCACCACATTAGGTTCTTTGAGCAGGTAGTATGGGGCTTGTTGCTCCAGTATGGCCATTTCCTGGGACTTGGATTTGGGGAGAATGGATCAGGGCACTGGGTACCCTGAATGACCCTGAGAGCTGAGCTGTCTGCATGCTGCCCTTTGCACGGCCTGCCCTGGCCTTGGCTGCAATGTCTGCATCCTGCCAAATCCCGTGGAGTAGCTCTGGGGAGCAGAGAGGGTGACTTCAGTGGCTGTTTGCACAACTGCCATGTGGTGGGGACCGAGCTCCATCCTCGGAGCTGAGGTGGTCCCCTCGCAGCCTGGCCCGACAGGTGTCCTGGGACTTGGCAGAGCGTAGGTAGGTCGTGTGTGTTTCCTGAGCATGCCTTGCCTCTCCTGAAAATTCAAGCCTGCCCTGTTGCCTTCCTCCTTCCTGAGCTTTCTTCTCAGCACCTCCTTTAGCTGGCTGCTGAGGGGATGATTTAGTCAGAGCATAAAGGGCTTTTGTGAGATTGCCTAAATATTTGATGCCAGGAATGTAGAAAGTCCAAGCCGCTGGGAGCTGTGACAGTTGCCAGAAACTCCAGGCGAGCAGATAGCCCGGTGCTGCGCTCTCAGTTTTCCAAGCCCCCTCATGGAGACCGAAAAGAAACCATGTCTGGTGTGTGTTTCCACAGGGGCCCAAAGGTCACAGTCCTTGGACTGGCGTCTCACAGTTCCTGCAGACGTCCCAGAAGATCATCCAGTTTGCGTCGGGGAAGGAGCCACAGCCAGGAGACACCATCATCTACGTGGCTGGAGCCTTCGACCTGTTCCGTATCCTTGACTCTGTTTTGTTGCGGCATTGGTCTGTCTTTGATGCTTTCATGTTAGGAGGCACCTGCCTGGATATTTGCCTTTTTTTTTTTTTCCCCTTTTCTGTAGCTGTATGTGAGGGGGAAAAGGCAGGAGGGAATTCCTTCTGGCAGTTTCTTAGTCACAGGACTCTGAGAAAGGAGCTATAGCTCTTCTCTGGAGAGATCTGTGGCTATTGGAGGATTTCAGGATGGCAGTTGGGTACTCTCTGTGCTCTAGTGATTGTGGTGAGGACTGGCTGCCATAGACAAAGGCACTGCAACAGGGCACATGGAGCTGACACTCCATCCCTGGGACAAGCTTTGAGGCTTTGTGTCAGAACATCTGGAACAGGTAGAAATTCTGGACAGAGGCAAAGCTGAATCTATGTAAGGTGGAGCTGGAAAGATCTCTGGGTTTTGCCCAGAATCCATGGAGCCTGTGGAGAGAGGTGGCAGCTGTTCTTAGGACATAGGCAATGAGTAGTGCAAGAGTTAAATCCTTGGCATTCCTGTCTCCCACTGTCATTTTGCCCTGACTGTTTCTGTCTTCCTCTCCTTATTTTCCATGTGAGCTTCAACTCCTTAAACAGATCTACAGATGTTGGGCATGTAGATTTCCTGGAGAAGGTTCACCAGCTGGCAGAGAAACCCTACATCATTGCTGGGCTGCACTTCGATCAGGTTTGTGTAGAGCCTGTCCAAAGGCAGAGCAGCTTGGCCCTGTTCTCTGAGCCAGGCAGGCTGTGCTCTGGGAGACAGGACAGGGATGTATTGGCCAGTACAGGAATTTCATTTTGGGAGAGAGCGAGAGGGAAGGGTGTTGCTCTCTCTCTCTTCTGACTATGCCTGGTGCTTTGCCACAGGAGGTGAATCGCTACAAAGGGAAGAACTATCCCATCATGAACATCCACGAGCGAACCCTCAGTGTCCTGGCCTGCAGGGTGAGTGGGTGCCTCTGTGCTGTCCCAGAAATTCCCTGGAGCTCAGCGGTGTTCACTTGTGCCCAGTAATCTCACATGAGTTCCTTGGCGTGCACTGAGAAGGCGCGTCTGTCGTGGGTCATTTGAGGCTGCCAGAGGTACTGATGAGCTCTTGGGGAGGCTCTGCTGAAATCCTGTGCTGTCCTGGCTGACCTGAGTTTGTGACCTGCCTGGTTGCTCTGCCAGGGCAGCAGAGGCTGCATGGCTCCTTGCAGATAGACATGCTGGTAGAAAACTCTGCTCCCTGCAGCAGGGGAGAAAATTCCTGAGACAGAAACATGGGGAGCCCCAGAAATGTGTGCCCTGAGCAATTAGCTTTTTGGATTTGCTCTACAGACATGGAGAGGACATTTTTTAGGGGAACAAAAAGCTGCTGAGTGACAAGCAGTGCCTGCTGAACCTACTTTCCTGTTCCCTTATTTGAGTTCCTGACTGTATAGCAGGTGACCTGCTCAGGTCTCTTTAGGAAGCAGGTGGCCTCTGGCTTGTGCTTGGGTTTTTTTGTTTGGTTTTTTTTTTGTTTGATTGGGTTGTTTTCAAATCTGGATTCTACCTGGTTCCTTTCTAGTACGTCTCGGAAGTGGTGATTGGAGCTCCCTACGCTGTCACTGCTGATCTGCTGGATCACTTCAGGGTGAGTCCTTGCATACAGATGGACATGAAGATGCTGGTGTGTGATGTCTTGGGGAGGTAAAGTGATGCAGGACAACACAGGGGTGTAAGAGGGAGGTGTCCTGCTCAGTGGGTTACAGGGAGCTCCAGAGGCACTGCCAGGCTGGTGCAGGAGGGTGGCTTTGCTGGTCTCCAGGCTGCGTTTAGTGGGAGCAGTGGCAGGGAACGTCCCTGTCATCTTTTGGATCTTGTCAGCAACTTTGTCTTTCTCCAGGTAACACTTGTGTGTCATGGGATGACTGAGGTGGTGCCAGACAAGGACGGTTCTGATCCGTACGAGGTAAGGTACCAGCTGCTTTGTCAGCATTTGGTAGACCCAGGCTGGCCCTGGTTGAGTTCCTGGGCTGAGAAGGTGCATTGCAGAGGATGCTGCTTGGGCAGGGCTGTGGCAGATGATGCTGGTTTTTATCCACCCCTGAGGGCAGCTAGTTGGAGCAGTGTGTAAATCATTCCCGACATCTCCACTCTTACAGGCACTGTTTTGCTCTACTTGTTTCTGATGCCTTCATGGCAGGGTGAGAAAATCTGTGTGCTTTGCTCTGTGCCAGACCTGGGCAGCTTCCATGTACATGTTCTGCCTCTAAGGAGATCACTGTGCATCCTGCCTGGCTAGGCACTGCAGGACCTGCCACGGCTCGGCTCAGCTGTCACTGCTGAGCTTCACACCCAGGTCCCACGTGCTTTCCCAGCCCAGTGCTTTGTCTGTTCACAGGAACCGAAGCGACGTGGCATTTTCCAGCTGGTGGATAGTGGCAGCAATCTCACCACAGATCTAATTGTGCAAAGAATCATAAAGAACAGGTTGGATGTCTTTGTCTCCCAGTTCTGTCACATACTGTTCTGTCCAGAGTGTCTGGAGATTGATTAATGGGATCAAACAGGGAGAGAAGGGGTTATCTAAAGGCACAGAGTCAGCGAACTGGTCCTTCCTCTCGGGCAGGCTTTAAGTGTGGATATACCAGTCTGTACAGGGAAAGGAACAGCTGAACTCTGCTGTGTCAGAATGTGCTGAACAGCACATTTTTTGGTTTTTCTTCTTTATTAATGATAAATTTCCTTGCTGTATCCTGCAGAAAAGAGCATGTTGCTTCTTTCAGAGCTTTGCTCTTTTAGGCCTGAGCCCTTCACCTTCAGCAACCTTGGCTCAGATCAGTGGTAAACTTGATTTTGGTGTTACAGCACTATTTGAGATGTCTCAGGACAGACCAAGAACAGAATAGCAGCTTTTTCCACTGAGGGAGAAGTAGTGTGGGAGCCCAGGACTACAGAGTCATAGGAAGCTCTGGGAGAGGCTGTGGAAGACTCTGGGTGCACCAGGAGGGTTTCTGAAGTGCTCTCAGAACAGAGCAGCATAGGAAAAGGCAGTGCTCTCCTGCTCCAGGTGCTTTTGTCTACAAGAGGTGTGGATGGATGGGAATCTCACGGCATTGTGTGGTTGATGCAGGCTGGAGTTTGAAGCTCGGAACCAGAAGAAGGAAGCGAAAGAGCTGGCTGTACTGGAGGCCATGAGGAGGCTGGAGGAGGAGAAGCACTAGGCTGCAGAGGGTGGATGTGTGGGCCACAGAGTGCTGCAGCCTCACCCTCTGCGGGAGCAACAGCTCTTCAGGAAGGGACCCCTGAGGGGGAGCAGCGCTGCCAGCACACAGGATGTGCTGTCCTACCCTCTACTGTCCTAGCTCCTCCTGCACTAACTGTGCAGACGAGTTGGGATCCCGCTGCCTAGTTCTATCTCTCTTAATCAGCCCCCATTCCCTTTCCCAGGAGAAGATTTGACAAAAAAAAAAAATGGTTTTAATTATAACTAATGTTTTAACATGTTGATGTGCTTTTACCTTCTGCCATTTCTGGCTCTTAGTAGGAGGGAAGTGGAGCAGTTGCCCAGGCCCCCTGCCCTGCCAGACTTGGCTGTCCTGACTGGGGTCTGCATTCCAAAGCAGCCCCTTGGGCAGGGGTGGGGGCAGCCTGACAGACAGTGAGAGTGGCCTCTGGTTGGGGGGATGTGGCCCCCACAGTCCCTCCTGCAGCTTTTACTTAGAGCCATGGGGCCGTCAGTGCTGGCTGCTGGAGGTGTTTCTGGACTCTGGGGTCCACTGTGCTGCCTCTCCTCAGCTCCTGCCCCTGTGCAGACCCAGAGTTGCTCCAGGTTGAGCTGGGTAAAGGCAGATCATTTGCTGCTTCAGTGACGGGCAGGGGGTGGTAGCTGCTGAGGGGGCAGGTGGTGCAAGGACCCTCCATTGAGGCATTTCTCCATGTGAAAGCAGGGAACCCTGGGAGCTTCTCCCAAAGGCTCTTCCATTTGCGAGGCAGCAGGACCTGGTGCCTTGTGTGGACTGTGCTCAGAGCCCCCCTTGTTGCTGCTGCCAGAGTCCACCTTGTGCCTGAGGGGTTACATGAAGGTGGGACCTGGCCAGGTGAAGTTTCGGGGTGGTTTTCTGAGGGCTGATGTGCAGCATGTGTGCCCCGGTGGTGAGATGCAGGGCCTGAGGGGGATAGATGCTGGGCTGAGCCTCTTCTGCCTCTTACATTCCAGGGTGCTGTGGTGGGTGTCCTGAGCTGCTCCCTGCACTGGGCCAGACAGTCCTGCCAGGCTGGGTCTGGGTGTCCTCACTGTTGTAAACTTTTGTTGCTGATCATTAATAAAATGTTGAAGAGTTGTGCACTGGTCTCTTTAGGGATTGAGCCCAGGTAGCAGAAAGGGGGTACAGGGGATGTGTGCTAGGACCCCACAGTGCTGGGACTGAGTGTGTTCCCTGCATGGCAGCTCCCGGTCCCGGGGCTGGCACAGCAGCTCCTCACCCCGCAGCAGCTCTGACTCTGAGCTGTCGGGCCCTTCTGGTGGTCTGCCAGCTGTGGAACGCCCAAATTCGCCCTCTGCAGCGCATGGCCCCCTCCTAAGGGCACGGCAGAGGAGTTTGCCCTTAAGGACAAACAGCTCAGCCCAGGTTTGCCCCGGCCGAGCAAACGCTGAGCCCCCCCTGGAACAAGGCAGGTACTGCTGGGATTAAAAAATGACAGAAGCATTGAATTGCTGCTGTTGCCGGGTGGGTGCTGCAGGGGTAACTCATTTGTTGGGGACATCAACCCCACTGGCTCAGCTGGAGCTGCTGCTGAGTTTACTTTGAAAATTTTTGACATATGATGTCCCTTCCCCCAAGTGCCTCTGGGCTCTTCTGCTGAGCTGCTTACTGACAGCCCCTGAGTCCCAGGGGCACAACTGAATATGGAGTTAAAATTGGAGAGGGGGTACAGGAAAATAGCCTGAATTCCAAGTTTGTGACTTTCTTTTCTGTGGCTGGTTGTGGGGGTTTTTTGTTTTGATTTGTGGGGTTCCCCCCACGGCCCCCAGGTGCAGATCAAGACTCTGGTTCCTGCACTCATCCCTAGGCAGCCCCCCTTGGATGCAGATCGCAGAGAGTGTTCCCTGTAGGCAGTGCCTGTAAGCACAGCCCTGACCCTGCTGAGTGGAGCAGCAGCTTCGGCCCAGACCCCCCCAAGCAAGACTGCAGATCAGCCCAGGGTCTGCACGTGGGGGACTCCAGGCAGGAGCTCAGCACTGGAGTTGAGTCAGTGTGTTATGGCAGAGCTCAGCAGCAGTGCCATGCTGACCCCTGGGGGTCTCTGGGCCATAACCCACCGCGCTGGCCTCCCCCTGGTGCCCACCAAGGTTCCTGCACAGGTGCAGCACCAGCAGCCTCACCTGGGCTGGACTGTGCCAAGGATGGTACAGCAGCTCAGGGCCTTGGTGTGTCAGGTCTGCAGCGAAAGGGGGAACTCCTTGGCTCTGTTCCTAATGAGCATGGTGGCCACTGGGGTCAGCATGGCCCTGGGCACCCTCCCAGGGCTGGGGACTGTGGCCAGATTGGGTGCTCTGCTCCTGGCCTCACCCCGGGGGAGGAGGTGCCCACTCTGCTGGGGGGCTGCTGCCACCCCCCTCTCATCACCGAGCCCATGTGTTGTTGCTGGAGGTGCCCCAGGATCTCCTGCAGCAAAGGGTCAGCAGGGACAGGAGTGCCATGCCTGTGGTCACTCCCTGTCCAGCCCAGCTCCTGTCCCCACACTGTGCCCTGCGGCCCCCAAGGCCTCGGGCTGCCCTCAGGGCTCAGGGATTTTGTTCTGCCGGGTGTTTGAGCAGCCTCGGCACCGCCAGAGGGACCGGGCGTGGGGGGCTCAGCAGCCCAGAGCTCCCCAGATCCGGGTGGGCTCCCCATACCGCACAGCACCTCCCTGCCCTGCAGGACAGATATGACAGAGCCAGCCCAAGCATGTTTATTGTTTCCCCAGAGCCACCAGTGCCAGCTCAGTCCCCCGCGCGCTCCACGGGGTCCCAGGACACGCTCACATCCGCACCCGGTGCGGCGGCGCCGCCGCCCCTGCAGCCCCGGGACGGCGCACACGGCCACGCGAGCGGCGGCAGGGCGGTTGTTAGGCGGGCCCGCGGGGGGCCGGGACCGGGGCCCCCCCGTTCCCGGTGCCGCCGTCACTCGCGGAACTTCCACTCCTGGCGGCACATGGGGCAGTGCTGCTGCACCTGCTGCGAGTTCAGCCACTTCAAGATGCAGTGCATGTGGAAGCAGTGCGAGCACTGCCCCCACACCAGCGGGCAGTCGTCGCCGGGCACTTTACCTGCAGCAGGGACACACCGTCAGCCCCGCCCGGTGCGCGGTGCGCGCTGCGCGGTGCCCGGTGCCGCACTCACAGTCGGGGCAGCAGCCGTTGAAGGCCATCCGGCAGATGCCGCAGTTCTCGTCGTTCGCCACCCAAAGCCAGGACGCGACCCCGTGCCAGCTGCGCACGCGGACCCGCATGGCGGGCCCAGCCCGGTCCCGGTCCCGGTCCCGGCCCCGCCGGAAGTGCCGCCCCCCCTCAGCGCACCGAGAGCCCGCCGGGCCGCGCGGCCGCCCCGCCCCTTCCGCTTCCGGCGCGGGCGCAGCGCGGCCGGAAGTGCGGGCGGGAGCGGAGCCGCCATCATGGCCGACAAGATGGACATGTCCCTGGACGACATCATTAAGCTGAACCGGAGCCAGCGCGGGGCCGGCCGGGGCGGCCGGGGAGGCCGGGGCCGGGGCGGTGCCGCCCGCGGGGGCGGGCCAGGCCGGGGCGGCGTGGGCGGCGGGCGCGCAGGCGGCGGCCCCGTGCGGAACCGGCCGGTGATGGCTCGGGGCGGCGGCAGAAACCGGCCTGCGCCCTACAGCCGGGTACGGATCGGGCGGCCGGGGCTCGGGCCGGGGAGGCGAGACGGGACGGGACGGCGGGTCCACGCGAGGCGGCGGCGCGGGTGGCCCTTTGTCCGCTCCCGGCGCGGCTGGGGGGCTGCGGCCCCGGCGCCGGTCAGCGAGGTCCCGGTCTTGTTGCAGCCGAAGCAGCTCCCCGAGAAGTGGCAGCACGACCTGTTTGACAGCGGCTTCGGGGCGGGGGCCGGCGTGGAGACCGGCGGGAAGTTGCTTGTCTCCAACCTGGACTTCGGCGTCTCGGATGCGGACATCCAGGTGGGGCTCGGGGCGGCGCCGCAGGGGTCCCAGGAGTTTCATTCATTCCATCGGGGTCGGGTGCCCGCGGGAGCCCCGCCGGCTCTGCTCCCTCCTGCAGCCGGGGCCGAGGATTGCCGGGTGCTTCCCCTGTGACGGGGTTTGTGCCGCGGGTGCCTGCCTTGGCGCGGACCCGCTGCTCCCGAGAGGGGCTGGAACAGCCTGTTTATAGATCCTTTGTGAGGGGCTGAGCCGTGGCACATGCGGGAACGTGGCACACGATGCTGCACCTCGGCTGGATCGAGCCGAGACTGGAGAATTCCCTGTGAGCTCTGAGCTCCTCTCTGTGCAGCTGCAGCCGTCCCTGAGGCGCCGTGTGCTCATCCAGGGCTCTGCTGCTGTGCCGGATCGTGTCCTGCTGGGTTCCTTGGATCCGTGGGTGGGGTGGCCGGGGAGGTGTCCCGGGGCTGTGTCCCGGTCAGAGCCCGCCGTGCCCGCGTGCCTCTGCCCTGGGCGGGGGGAACACATGGCCCCGCGGGCCCTGAGCTGGTCAGGAACTGGGTGCCAGGTGTGTACCCCGGGGGCTCCTGGCCTGGGTACACTGCAGGGCACAGCCATCACCATGGGCTCTTGGCCTCGTGTCCTCACCAGGGAAAACAAAACCCCTGCTGTCAAACCTCCCTCATCCCTCAGTCTGGTCCCTCCAGCACCGCTCTGGCTGTGCCTGGGGAATGAAGGGAGGGGATGAAGGTTGGGTCACCGAGGAGCATGCTAGATACCACTCTTTTCTGTGTTTCCATTCCATTCCTGCAGACTGAGTGTAAATAAGTCCCTGCTGGGAGCACCGTGCCTTGGGCATGGGTTGGCACGGGCAGGGCTGGGCAGTAATGCCCAGCAGCAACTCCCCACGGGACAGCCCTGGTGGGAAAATCACCATGGTGAGTTGTCCTTGTTGACTTCCCAAATCTAGCACCTGGGAAGTAAAATTGGTGGCTTCATTGCTGCCTTTTCCAACCTTTCTGGCAGCAAAGGACAGACCTCAGCAGGGGACTTTGCTGGTCTCAGTTTCTGGGGTATGTTCCCAATGGGCACAATAAAGCACAGTGCAACTGCCATCATCTTGTGGATTCCTGTGCTCACACGGGCCATGCCCTGTGGGAAGGGTGTCTGGCATCTGGAGTATTTTCAATAGTCGCCCCTTTGACTCGGCCTCAACAAACACCCTCAGTTTCTCTGGGGAAAGAAACAGGTTGGCATCCCTCGACTGGCTGTAAACGTGCTCCTTCAGGAGGTGAATGCAGAGCCCTGTTTGGTTTTGCCACCTGTGGCAACTGCTGGAAACCCCCCGGTGGGCTGTGCTGCCCTCTGCCATTGGCATGTACCCAAGCTGGCTGTGGTGGTTGAAGAGGCACCGGTGCTCCCCAGTCGTGGCTGTGTGGGGAGATGCTGTGTTGGCAGCGCTGACAGACGGGCACGGTGCTGACGGACAGGCACGCTCCTCTCTCTGTTGTTCTCAGGAGCTCTTTGCGGAGTTTGGGACCTTGAAGAAGGCAGCTGTGCACTACGACAGATCCGGTCGCAGCCTAGGGACGGCAGACGTGCATTTTGAGAGGAAGGCCGATGCTCTGAAGGCGATGAAGCAGTACAATGGGGTCCCCTTGGATGGTGAGTCTGTGTGCCGTCTCCATGGCCTGTTTCTGTGGCTGGAGTGAAGCAGCTGGCACACTTGTCCCTTCCTCCCTCCGCCCTTCCCTCCCTCCCTCCCCCCCTCCCTCTCTTCCAGCCACATCCTGCACAGGCTCACAGGTGCTCTCCCTCCCTCCAGGGCGCCCCATGAACATCCAGCTGGTGACATCACAGATCGACACTCAGCGGAGACCAGCACAGAGGTGGGGGAGCCCCTGCCCCAGGCACAGGGTGGGGACGTGCTGGGCCCCTCCCCAGTGGGGAGCGTGGGTCCTGTTTGAGTTCACTGAATGCACTAAAACAATTGCTTTTTAAAACTCACAGTGTAAACAGAGGTGGCATGACCAGAAACCGTGGGATCTCGGGGGGATTTGGAGGTGGAGGCAACAGGCGAGGGACTCGTGGCGGGAACAGAGGGAGAGGCAGAGGAGCTGGAAGAACTTCCAAACAGCAGCTCTCTGCAGAAGAACTAGATGCACAGCTGGATGCTTACAATGCCAGGG